ATCATTCACTGGTTAGCGCTGATCAGTAGTCAATCTTGAATCATGATCTACTACAGATTCACGTACCCAGTACGCGGAACTGTAATTCATCGGCATAAATAGTTGACTTTCAACTGATAGGTTAAGGGCTTGAGCCCAGCACCCAGGTGGTAATTATCATTATCCTTCACACAATAAGTTTTACTCACTGCCTAATCCACGAATATCCGCAAGGTTGTTGAGTGTTGCATTCCGATTTCTATGTATCAGGCTATGGACTACATTTGATGTACTAGGACTTATGATAGTACGCAGTTGCTTAGACTAATGTAGATAAAATTGAAATTTTATATCCTCGATCTATTAGTTGAAAGTTGAATTCTTAAATTAGTCAACTAATATTTACCATTGTTTGGGAAATAACTAACTTTGACTAGCTTTTGGAAGTATTATTCCGTGCTTGACTTCTGAAAAATGTTGTGTTTAACCCTCTTGTCGACATAATGATAAAGAAATTCTTCGAGAAAGCAACTTATTTTATTGTTTACTTAGCTGCTCTAGTCTATTTCTCCTTTTCCTCCTATCATCTCTCTTTTTTTTATCTAACATGTGGCAAGATTGATTGTTCAAAGATAAAATGGATGAATAAATTTTCAAGTCCTTAAAAAGAAGAAAACACAATTTCATTATCTCGATTTTATGCCTATAGATAATTTCATCTAATTTGGATTTTGAATAGTTCTCTTGACTAGTTTCATGGGAAACGCATACACACACACATATAAAAGGCGAAAAACAAAATATCCTGACTCTATTTTTTGAATATTTTCTACAACCAGAAGAAGAGAAAAAGAAACGGCAAAACAGAGAAATTTGATAGAAAGGCAGAAGTGGTATAAATCATTATTAATAATTTACTCTCCAAAGTAAAAGTCATTTTTTCCTACTTACTTAACTGTCTGGGATTTGTGTGTATCTATGCTCAACTATCAACGCTACCATATTGAGATTTAGTGGTGTATTCTCTGAGTAGCATGATTTAATCGTGGGGCTTTCATTATCATTCTAGACAACCTCATCAACATATACTATTCGCTAACAAATGACGTGAGATTTTTTTCCAAAATTGTCTTGGTGGCTTGTCTTGATGTCCTTGAGTTTGATTGGTTGTTTCTGCTGGATTCTTGACATCAACTGTATGTGTATTTTGATTGGTTGTCTTTGTTGGCATGACATTGACCTTGCATTTTTTATTGGTTGATAGATTGTATCAGTGTCAACATGTCTGTTAATCGCTGTCTGATGTGAATGCCCATTGTCATTCTTCGTATCTCCCCTATTGGGGATTTCCACATTTTTCCAGTCAAATTCATGTCCACAATTTTCTATTTGAGTGAAGATATTTCATGACGCTTCACTGCTTGTTGTTCATGTAGACGGATTGGAAGAGGGTAATCACTCAGTTCGATATAGTGTTCTCCGCTGTTTCTGCAGTTTATTTTGTAGATAACATTTAGTTTGGCTTCCTTTACTATTGTTATTTTTGGCCTGGATAATGTAGAGTACAGAGATTTTGTAGGCTTTGTAAGCTACAGCCATTTCAAAAGGCTTCAGTAATCCGGTTACATTCTCAGAAACGTTCTTCATTCAAGGTCCACTTCCAGAGAAAACTTTATAGTTGACGGTGAATTTGAAAACTTTCTTTTGACCGAGTTTCGTGGATACTTATTCTTCCAGAATATACAGTCACCAAATCATTTCTTCTTTGACTAATGCTAGTTGGATAAAGGCAATCGGTAGATCACAAGTTTTGTACTTCCTGGCACTCATCAGCAAGGCATGTTCGCAACCTCAGCTTAACTAATGTCCCACTTGGGGTTCCAACCCATGTCACTTAGTGCTGCAGTCAGAAACATTACCACTAGCTATTTGGGTGGCGGCTAACCTCCTGTAGGACTGGATTAGGCACACTGATTGGTTACTGGAGGGCAACCATCTTCATGTTGTCTACTCCTAAGTACTAATCGAATCCTATCGATCATTTTACAATGTGGCCATCAAACTAGGCAACTCAGCATTGCGTTGCATTTTTAATTGGTGTCAGTTGGATGGAGGCAATTGACAGAAATTCCTGCTTGGCCTCAGATCTCAGTGTGATTTCACACTTTTGAACTCTGTTTGTACTCAACTGATTTTCTGTCAATGGATTGCTACTATTGTAGTTTGAGGATTGAATCCAATTTTCATTCGGTGCTGGTTATCAGAACAGTTTAAAAGGCAAGTTTTTTTGTTTCGTTTCCCTATAATTGCGAAGTTGGGCTCCTCAATAACGTTGCTGATTGATTAATTTGTTAGTATTTTCTAATTCGTTTCTTCTGATAGATGATAAACGTGTCATTAACATATGTTGAAGTCAGGAGAACGGTACTAGATAAGATAGGCAAGTCAGTTGATGAAGTCGTGAATCTTGGTCGACTGAGAATCCTTGGATATGTACTACATGTGCCTAGCCACCGCCTACCTCGACATGCTATGCTAGAGAAATCTGGATTAGGTCGGAAAAGGATTCAAGGTGACCAGACTTGGCACCAGTCGATGAAGTTTCTAACTTTGTCTGAGCTTTTGGGGGAGATTTAGACTGCGTGACTGAGATGGAAGTCTCCGAAATGATAGGAATCACTGGTTGAGGACTGTTAGTGACACGACTGAAAGTCGGGGACATTGGAGCAGATATATTCACTCTCACACAACTTTGTCTACTTTGATATCAGTCTATCTTTTTCTTTTTACTTGTTCTTTGTGTACTACTGTGAAGTTTGACAATTTGAACGGAAGAATTTGCTTACGAGGTTCTACATTGATTTTCATATCATCAATTCGTTTATCTGAATAAAATATGTTGGAGAGTTGATGGAGGTCCTTGTAAGTGTAAAAAATGATCGTACAGAGAGATGCTTGATGTGTGTATCTTCGGTTTCCTATCGGACTGTGGAATAACAGGTCCAATGGATTTCATTTGCTATCGGTTGTTGTTTTGTAATTTATCTACTTTAACTATTTTATTATCATTATTTGTCCCTTGGGTTCCTAATGGAACATAGGGCTTCAGTAGCACGTCTCCAATGCGCTCTGTTCTCTGAAATCTTTTGAACCTGGCTCCACGACTCCCCAGAAGCTCTCATTTCCTCCTCACACGATCTCCTCCATGTCACCCTCGGCGCCGACGTCCAACTCGTCGCTTTCCATGGGGATTCCACTCGAGTGGCTGGCCTGACGGGTGATGTCCACAGTCGGCCTTCTCATTGCATGCCCAATCCATCTCCATTTCCTTCTAGCGCATATTTGTTGGGTGATAGGTTGTTGGTTGGTTCGTCGACAGCCACAGTGAGTTCCTTGTTACTTATTCTCACTATTCTGGCCATCTGATCTTCAGTAGCGAGCCAGCGTAGGTGGCAGTTGTTGATGAATGTCTTTAGTTTGTTGGAAATCCGTTTCGTAACGCGTCAAGTCTCTGAACCATTGTGAAACTAGTTTGTTTAATTTCTTGGTCATCTAAGAGTAGAACTTCCACCTCCTTGTTGAAGTTGTTTTTATCCATGATAACTGTATTGTGCGGTTTGTCAGTTGACATTATACGAATGTTCTTTTTATTCTGTAGTTTCTTGAGAGTTCTCAGTCCTCCATTGGCTGGTTGAGTACAATTTTCTTCTCATTTCATCAGAGAAACGATCATTTTTCTTCTTTTTATGTTTTATCGTCTATAGTCTTCAATAATGACTTTAGGGAATCGAAGAATTCTGCTCCTAAAGCATTTCTTTTATTGTAACTTAGTCTTTTCTGTAGGTGAAATTCCTTGAATTTAGTTAGGGGACTGGTCATTCTAACAAGTTGACTATAAACTCAGCTGTTTTTTTTCCTTTTTTGACACATGATTTTAAGATTTTGACTACCTTCTCAAGATGGATGTTTCTTCCCTATTCTTTGTGTAGTCTACTTGATTTTTCGATTTATCAGTATTCTCTACTACTTTCTCTTTTGACTGTTGATAGTCTCTTGATATTTCCAAATCTGATAAGCACCATCGATGATCATCAGCTGTACTATACATCTGTAATGTTTTTCTGCTATTTTTATTTTTGCCTCAGTGGATGTTTTGCTTGTTGCATCACTGGTCGACAGAACATAATGACTTAGACAGTTGCATTAAAAAAAAATTCCCTTGATATATCATCTTATTTCTTCAGGTTTTCTGTCTTGTGATTATTCTAAAATGTGTCAAATTAAAATCGATCAAGCCTTGCCTGGGTGTGTGTGTGTGTGTGTGTGCGAGAGAGAGAGAGAGAGAGAGGGATTATGCTCTTATGTATGTTTATCTTAACTTGTACGTGATATTTTAAAGATCACTTTGGTCACCGGGTGAGGTAAAGAATTACGAGTTCAACAAAGAAAGAAAAGTTAGATAAATCTTTTACTGATTGATGACTAGCTTCAAGAGATGTTTCCAAAAGTTCCAATGATATGTTGTGACCAGTGGAGCCGAACAAGTCGGGTATGACGACATTGGATGTAGGTCGTGCTGTATCGTGAATTGACAGAAGTAGGATATATGGACTATTGGATTCTGATCCAGTAGCTCAGTAGTGATGTGCTGGCTGTGGAACCTGAAGATAATGGGTTCGACCCTTTGGCGGGGCAGGATCATGGATGCGCATTGTTGATGAGTCTCGCAATGAGATGAAACAACGTTGTTTAGTGCTGTAAGGTTTACAATGTTTCTCCAATTAATGTCAGTCCACGATGAATACCAATCTGAAAGAAAGAAGTATTAAGCATATAATAAATAGACATTTCAAAATATGACTTCGACTTCAGCTGTGTATATACGTACGTGACTATAACTGCTGACATCAATTCGTATTCAAAAAAAATTGAACGCAGACGAGTTTATTTATTATTTATCTGCTTATTTATGGTTTTTGTTTATTTTAATGATGTGACCTTTTCTAAATTCCATTTATCAGGTCTCCACTGCACTGAAAACTGACATGATCAGTAATGATAACTCCAATAGCAATAATGCTGCCATCGTTACAACAAATTTTGGCCAAAAGTCATTGGATCTAAATAGTAATGGCTATCCTTCACGGATTAGTGGTGTAGATTCATTGAATAACCCTGGACAAAGTGGTAATATAGCAGAAACGAGTGGTGTTGACACAGAATATGCTGAAGAGGATGAAGATGTCGATGTAAACTTTAAACCAAAACAATCAAGCCAAGAAATTAATCAGTTGTTCAGTGTTAAAATTAATGCCAGGTTTGTTTGCTTATTTGTTTGGAAGTAAAAATACGAAGTGATTCTACAGACATACCCTACCAACGAATGAATTAGCCAATCAGATTACTTTATTTCTATGGTAAAGGTGGATTTCCATAAAATAACCAATCAGGCTTCGGTCTTTCATCCGGGATGGTAACTTCATAAAATAAAAAAGCATAATTAGGTGAATTTAACAACCATTGAGATAACTAATCACCTTTCTTTATTTAATAGGAAGCTGCCTTTCCTGATGAGATCTGATTGGTTATTTCAGTGGTTGCCAGAATATCCCTTAAAGTCGGTTATTTGGCCAAATTAGATGACTTGATTGGTTGAAAGAAAAAGATTCGTTTGATATGTGCCTTCTTGCATCAAACTATGATGCCTACATGATATTTGACGACCAATTCAGGGATAAGTATACTCTAATGTAGTCTGCCATGTCCTATTATCTAGCTGTGAAACATGCCGCTTGAGAAAAGAAGATATAAGGAGATTAGTCTTCATAGCATTACTGGCGTGTGGTGGGATCAACATTTGTACAATATCATGGTTAGGCGAAGAGTACTAAACAAGACAAGCAATTCAGATTGGCAACCGATGCTGATTGAAGTTACTTGTGCATGTGTTACGTATACCAAGCCATTGTCTACCTCAACATGCAATGTTACTCGAAGTAGGACTAGGCTGAGAGAAGTTTGAAGGTTGCTAGACTAGGATGTGACTTCAATGTATAAAGGTTTTGACTGTTGGTCTGAGCCGTTTAGTTAGGTGGAGAGACTGTCTTGTTAGGGTCATTGGGGTGATAGATTCAATGGTTGAAGAGTTTCACTTCTGTTTTTCTCTTATTTATTCTCATTGTTTCATATTGAAATCGTTGAGTGTTTTCCCTTGCTTGGGCAAGTTTTCTTATCACTAGACTTTATGATGATATATTTTTTTGAGTCAATAAGTCAACTATCTCTTGAATAATAGTTCAATTTCATTGAGTAGTCAAATAATGCACTAATCCTACTACTCAATAAATCACATTCATCTTAATAGCTGTTGAGATTGAATTAATTAGAATAAGTGCATGTTTATCATTCAATGATCAAGACTCAACTACTACTGAAATCATTTAGCACTATGAATCACCTTGTCACACATCGGTGAGTGTAGCTAATAACATAACTCATCAGTAATCTCCAGGTTCGAAGCATTCATTGTATGAAAACCTACGATATAATGCCATCTGTCCACCCCCCACCCCCTATATCGTAGCTTCAATTGGTCTGACGGTTTTCGAACCAGCAACTAGCTAGTTGTAAATCAATTATCTAGTAGACCAATATGCTGTTATAGGGTTCGACTAGATTTGAACAATTCAAACTATCTATACCCTTCACTTACCTAGTTCAGTATCATATTAACCTGAGTGAAATGCTGAAAAATGCCAAATTATATTCAACAGTGTTTAGATAACGAGAGTGGATTAATAGACAAAAGGAAATATCTTTTCTTTTTTAAAAAGCCTCGTTCGGTATCTGAAACAAGATACCATCCATACACTAAATATACTACAACAGAATCCTTTCATTAAATCCTTTGACCGCAAAGAATATGACACTTCTTTTTATTCTTGTACGGATAAGGGAAGCCTACAAAAATCATCAATATGTTAACTTTATGATTAGTAGGAATTGTAGAAGCATTGAGAAAAGTGATAAGTAAGCCAACTCTCTCGACAATTATATATGTACACTGACTGACTATCAAAATCTTGGTAGTCTGCACAATATTTGAGTGTTTGCACAATGAAGTCACAGTGACATTGACATCTACTTCGCTAGACAAATATCACCGAAATACAAATTGTTGCTCCAGGATTGATCTTCAACGGTGTCCTACCGCGACTAACAATAGACAGCATAGTGGTTGAATTTATTGACCACTTCACTTACCTGGGAAATGGGATCACCCCTGCCCTGGTGGATCACTGGCCGATGAAATCTCTGTATCGGTACAAAAGGCTTAGCTAGCTTTTGACAACTTACGCCAGCTGTAGCGCCGCCGTGATATCTGACTGTTTACTCCACAGCAGTCCGCTCCCCTCTACTGTATGGCTGTGAAATATGGTCATTGAAGTTGGAAGACATCAGAAGGCTTCAAGTGTTTGACCACCACTGCCTTCGTATTATAGGCCGTATTCTGTGGTGTCACCACATGAGTAACGCAGAAGTCAGCCGTAGAGTTTTGAGCAGGAAGAGGTAAGTCAGTTGACACTGTTGTAGACCTGCATCGACTGAGATGGTTGAGACATGTTACGTATACCTAGTTGCCGCCTACCTCGTCACACAATGTTGACCGAAGTGGGTTCAGGCTGGAAAAAGGCTTGAGGCGGCAAAACTAAAACAAGGCACCAATGTATGAAGTCTTTGACTGTTGGTTTGAACCATGTGGATCGATGCAGACTAGCCATTTTGTGTCCGCTGGACAAGAGGAACCAGTGGTTGGAGACTCTAGGCGATCACATGTCTCAGAACCGATGTCAGTGATGCAGATGTATACACATATTGTCCTCATCTTAACGACGCTACACCGAATCTCACCACTTTCTCATTCTTCTTCTCTTTCTTTTATAATAATGATAATCATTATTATTATTATTAATCCCTTGGGTTCCTAATAAAACATAGGGCTTCAGTAGCGCGTCTCCGGTGAACTCTGTTCTCTGAAATCTTTTGAACCTGGCTCCACGACTCCCCAGAAGCTCTCATTTCCTCCTCATATGATCTCCTCCATGTCACCCTCGGCACCGACGTCCAACTCGTCGCTTCCCATGTGGATTCCACTCGAGTGGCTGGCCTGACGCGTGATGTCCTCAGTCGGCCTTCTCAGTGTATGCCCAATCCATCTCCATTTCCTTCCCCTGCATATTTCTTGGTTGGTTCGTCGACAGCCACAGGAGTTCCTTGTTGTTCATTGTCTCGGGCCATCTGATCTTCAGTAACAGGCCAGCGTAGGTGACAGTTGTTGATGAATGTCTGTAGTTTATTGGAAATCCCTTTCGTAACACGCTAATTCTCTTAACTATCACATTGAAGCACTGACTTACTTCACGTTGGTGTTGAAAATTCGGATCTTGTTCACGCTTTATGCTGAGTGTAATGCAGAAGATCTCCACACTAGTTTCAGGTTATTGAACGCCTGTCTTGCTGTCTTTCCCATCCTGGTCGGCTTTGACATCCTCGTCAGTGCCACCTGTAATTGAAACAGTGCTGCCTAGATAGGTGAAGGAGGTTACTTCCTTTAAGTTTCTCCCATTGATGGTGATTGGAGTTTGTTGTTGTTGGAGTTGTCGGTGCGGTATCTTCATCACTTCTGTCTTCTCTACATTCACCTGAAGGGGGTCCCGTCTTCGCTCCTGCCCTGCCATGCCTCTTCTGTCAACTTCTTAGTTTTCGCCTGCAGATCTTCAAGTTTGTGCTACAAGACATTAGACACAAGTCATCAGCGAAATCTAAATCTTCTACGTTCTTTTCCCCGATCCACCTTATCCCCATCTTCTCACAGCTCCTCACTGTTTGCTGTCTGATCCAGTCAACTCGACCACAATCAGGAAAATTATGGGGGATAGTAAGCGGCAGCCTTTTCTTACTCCTGTCTTCACTTCAAAAGCATCACTGAGCTTCCCATTGTGAATTACTTGGCCGGCATGTGGCGTCTTCATATAGTTGTTGAATGAGGCTAATAAAGGTTTGTGGTATTCCGTAGTATTGAAGCAATTTCCAAATTACCTCTCGGTCGACGCTGTCAAAGGCCTTCTCAAAGTCGATGAAGTTGAGGTAGAGAGTTGACTGTCATTCTATGCTCTGTTCTATAATGATGCGCAGTGAAGCGTTGCAATTTGGTCTGCATATGATTTGAACTTCCTGAATTCAGCCAGTGTGTTCCGGTTGTCGTTTCGAATCCAGCGCATCCTTTAGTATCTCCAGGATGATGCGGCTCAATATTTTGCTTGCATTGGGTGGACAGGAGAGTGATTCTGTGCCAGTTCTTGCAAAGACTTAGGTCTCCCTTCTTCGGGAGTTTGACAAGGTAGCTTTCTTCCAATAGCCAGGTACCTTCTCTTCCTTCCTCACCTTCTGCAATAGTGGTGTGGTGTGAGCATGTCGGCTGTTTTCTCTGCGTCTGTTTTCAGTGCTTCTGGCGGGATCCCGTCTGGTCCTGCTGCTTTCCCACATTTCAGTAGCTTTATGGCGTTCAGGATGTCCATTTTTGTTGGAGGATTTATGTTCACTTGTAGTTCTGTGGCTGGGCTGTAGCTGGTATTTCTGGACGAAGTGCAGATGGTGGTGGTGGACGATTCAAGAGCTTCTTGAAGTGGTCGGCCCATTGTTTCCTTTGTTTCTCTTCTTTCGTAATTAAATTTCCGTCATCATCTTTTATTGGTTTCGTCTGCGTTGATCTCTTCCCTGCTAGATAGAGCAACCTGGTTATTTGATACAATGTCGTCAGGTCTCTCTTACCTGCAGCCGGTTCTGCTTCACTTGCCAGTGTTTCGTAGAAGTGTCTGTTGTCTTTCCGTGCACTCTTCTTCACTTCCTTGTCCAGTGTTTTATACATTGTGCTCAGTTCCTCTTGTTGTGCATCCTTGGACTGCTTTATCTTCTGCTTCACCATCCTCATCTCCTCTATCAGCTTCCAGGTATCCGTCGAGATCCATTCCTTGTCTTCTTTCTTCTTCCTTCCTAATACGGCTGTGCAGGTTTCTTCCCACATCTCTTTCAAAGACTTCCAGTGTTCTTCCACACAGGTTTCTTCAGGGATATTCCTCGAAATCTCCCATTTTGTCTTGATGGCTGACTGAAGTGAAGATCTTCTTTGTAGTTTCGTCCTTCTGTTTCTGTTCCGAGTGTTGCACTTGAACTGAGGTCTATCACCAGCTTCCTTGAATTCTTTTAACTTGATTTGGAAGGTTCCTTGCACTAGATAGTGGTGTGAACCTACATCTGCTCCTCTTCTTGACCTTGTGTCAAGTAGACTGCGTCTCCATTTTCTTGAGATTGAGATAAAGTCGATCTGATTTTTAGTGTGTCCTTCTGGTGAAATCCATGTTGCTCGCTTGTGGATATCCTTGTGCTTGAACACACTGCCTCACTGCAATCATGAAATCGTTGAATGAGTTGAATTCTGCAAACAATTCTCCATTCTCGTTCATCACCTCACCGAGTGCTTCTCGACCATGGTTAGTTCTCTTCGTGTGTTGTCTGCTCCCAGTTTGGCATTCATGTCGTCCATTAGAATAGATTTTGATCTTGCCAACTGAGGTGTTGTCTAGTGTTGGTTGAAGTTGTCTGTAGAATTCCTCCTTTTTCTCTTGCTCTGCATTATTTGTAAGTGTGTAGTGTAGCATTGTATGATTGTGACTTTCCTTCCTTTTGACTTGAATCTTGCTGCCATAATCCTGGAGGAGATTGGTTCCCACTGCATGAGAGCCTTCGATACTGTTGTGGACATCATGATAGCCACTCCAATACACAGTGTGCTGGTGGTTGTCGTCTGGGTGAGAATATCGGAGTAGATTATTGATTCTCCAGTTGACAGTTGGAGAGTCCACTCCCATTCCATCTGCTTTCGCAAATTCCAAGAACTTCAATGTGATACCTCTCCATCTGGTTTGCAATCTGGGCTGCCTTGCTGGGTTCAAAGATGGTGCGGACATTCCATGTCGCCACGTTTACTTTCGCTTTGAACGAGGGAGAGAAGACACATCGGCCCGGCGAATTGGCTTCCCGAGTGCAGGCTTTCACCGAGTGGCGTCATTTCGCCTCTCGGATTCGAGCGAGGAATAATTTTGTCATTATTTTTAAATATCGTTTGTTCTTTGAAGTTTGTTTAGTGGTTAGATTTGTTTTGTGGGGTAGGGTTGCTAGCTCTATGCCCAACCTTCCCTCTTTGTTTGGGCTTATGACCGGCTAGTAACTAGTGAACTAGTTAACCAGGAGAGGTTTCTCTCTCTTTCAGTACTTTATATTTCTTGTGACTGAATTCTCTTTTCTTCATCTTCCACTTCACTGCGTTTTTACTTGATGTACTGATATGTGTGGCAAGTTGGACCGTTACGCAGTAATGCCTGCTCCTATGTTGATTTGGTTGCATGGATGAGGCAAATATCAACTTTATATTCACAACTTTGTCTAGTTCAATGTCGGTCCTATTCTATCCATCTGTTCTGTGTGTACTACTGTAAAGTGTGGCAACTTGCAGGGATATACCTGTGTATACTGTTCTACGTTGATTTTGTCTCTGTCTGTCTGTCTATCTATCTACCTGTCTGTCTCTCTGTCTGTCTGTCCAGTAAGATAGAAATATAGATAGAATGACTATAGTTTCTTTATTGACACCATTTTTAGCCCCTCCTTTGAATTTTATTTTAGATGTTCAACACGAATATTTGCTATCAATTGTTTACGTGTGCTTATATCCAGTTGTGCTAAACTTTGTAATAATTCAGCCTTGATAAATGCCAATGATAATAATACTGAAGAAGATATGATTATCAATTCAAATTCATTAGCTCACTTTGATTTAGCTAAAGCTAGAATTCTACACTGTCAGACAGGCAAATCGGATTGGCTTATTCTTTATTTATCCGATTTAATACGTATAGCGTTTATGTCAGCTACTTCAGAAAGTGATCGATTACGTATTACAGGCTTAAAATTAATGCAAGATGTTGTACAGAGATTCTCTTCAGTACCAGATCCTGATTTCCCAGGTAACTTACTTTCTTTTATTCATTGTGTATTTAACTTTATTCTATACTGTAAGTTGATAGACATAAGGTTATAATTTTAATATATATTATAGTGATAATAATAACGTTGTTGAGTGGACCAAATTGATCAGTCTCTATTGGGATATGGGGTCCTATGTGGATGCCTCTATATTGTTTGTGTTCTAATTCTAGTAATGATGGATAGTGGCTAGCCGTGGAATCCAAGATGCACATTTCATCCTATTTGGGACTCGTTAGCCGGATGTGCCTGCCTCCCAGTGAGTGATGGTGCGTTTGTGCGATCAGTCCTGAGTTCGAGTCCCGGTGGGAGACAGGTACATCTAGCTGACGAGTCCCGAGATGAAGGAAACATGCATCCTCAACTCCACTGCTGGACACTATCTACCACTAATAAATAGTAAGAGCAATAGCTTTATTCCAAACAATATTTACGATGTAGTATGGAATTCTCAACATTTAATATTTCAACATAGTCATTCCAAGAACAATATTTTCGAACGAAATGGTTATGGCTCTTGAATGATACTGTTAATAATAAACCTTAGAGACTGGAATGAAATAAAAATTTGGTCAGCAGTTGGACCTCGTTGCTCAGTTGGTAGAGCATCGTACCGAAAACCCAGTAGTCGCTGCTTCGGATCCACGGTCCGCGGTCTGGATTTTCATTTCACCTTTAATCATCATCACCTACTATCAACACTAGTTTACCAAACCACGACTATCTCACATAGTCAAAATGATAACCAATATGATGCTACCCCTCTCTGATTCAGTTAGATTTTATTTAAAATGGGTTGTCTTTACTAGGTAGTTAATGTGAGTACAATCAAACGGTAGTAAGGTGTCAGAAATTCACATGGTAGTTGAGAGAAGCCTGATTGAAGTGAAGTGAAATAAAAATCTGGTCAGTAATTAGGCCTTGTAGGTGAGTTGGTAGAGAACACCAGGTCGAAAAGCCGATTGTCTCTGGTTCGAATCCCGGGTTCGCGGTCCAAATTTTCATTTCACCTTCAACTAACACTCGATAACTGTGCATAAAAATGTCATTATATGGTACTTAATAACTGTTAGTAGTTTGTGGCCATGGAAATTACATAAGAGATATGAACTGGAAAGTTTAAGAATTAAATTTCAGTATGGACAGGGAATGACAAAGTTGCTACTGGGTACACATTTCCAGTTTTGACTATTGTATTGCCAGAGATTGAAACCTGCAAAGCAAACGTTTTTTCTCAGACCCTCTAGATGACTACGTTGCACTTTGTAGACTAGTAGATCTGCGTTGACCTTTACTAAGCCATGCGAAAGGTGTTGGCATTGATGTTGTATAATCTGCTTCTTCGTACTGCCTGTATACATAGCTCCATAAGACCAAGTGAAATGATTTGAGCACATTAATGTGGCTAACAGTGACAGTTTGTTCTTTTCACATGTGTTTACCATTGGGCGTTTAAGTACCTTATTTGGTACATCTCCATTGATTTTTAAGCTCAAAATTATTTTTTTCTCCATATGGATACGAGGTTGATAGGTACCGTTCGGATGAAGATATTTTATCTATGAATCTCTCTAGATATCCATTTGTGATGACTGTCAATCTTAAAGGTTGAATTTCATCTTCTAAAGTGTCTGGACTACTGCAGGAGGTGTGGAAGGAAGGAAGGGTACCTGGCTATTGGAAGAAAGCTACCTTGTCAAACTCCCGAAGAAGGGAGACCTAAGTCTTTGCAAGAACTGGCACGGAATCACTCTCCTGTCCACCCAATGCAAGCAAAATATTGAGCCGCATCATCCTGGAGATACTAAAGGATGCGCTGGATTCGAAACGACAACCGAAACACACTGGCTGAATTCAGGAAGTTCAAATCATATGCAGACCAAATTGCAACGCTTCACTGCGCATCATTATAGAACAGAGCATAGAATGACAGTCAACTCTCTACCTCAACTTCATCGACTTTGAGAAGGCCTTTGACAGCGTCGACCGAGAGGTAATTTGGAAATTGCTTCAATACTACGGAATACCACAAACCTTTATTAGCCTCATTCAACAACTATATGAAAACGCCACATGCCGGCCAAGTAATTCACAATGGGAAGCTCAGTGATGCTTTTGAAGTGAAGACAGGAGTAAGAAAAGGCTGCCGCTTACTATCCCCATAATTTTCCTGATTGTGGTCGAGTTGACTGGATCAGGCAGCAAACAGTGAGGAGCTGTGAGAAGATGGGGATAAGGTGGATCGGGGAAAAGAACGTAGAAGATTTAGATTTCGCTGATGACTTGTGTCTAATGTCTTGTAGCACAAACTTGAAGATCTGCAGGCGAAAACTAAGAAGTTGACAGAAGAGGCATGGCAGGGCAGGGAAGCGAAGACGGGACCCCCTTCAGGTGAATGTAGAGAAGACAGAAGTGATGAAGATACCGCACCGACAACTCCAACAACAACAAACTCCAATCACCATCAATGAGAGAAACTTAAAGGAAGTAACCTCCTTCACCTATCTAGGCAGCACTGTTTCAATTACAGGTGGCACTGACGAGGATGTCAAAGCCGACCAGGATGGGAAAGACAGCAAGACAGGCGTTCAATAACCTGAAACTAGTGTGGAGATCTTCTGCATTACACTCAGCATAAAGCGTGAACAAGATCCGAATTTTCAACACCAACGTGAAGTAAGTCAGTGCTTCAATGTGATAGTTAAGAGAATTAGCGTGTTACGAAAGGGATTTCCAATAAACTACAGACATTCATCAACAACTGTCACCTACGCTGGCCTGTTACTGAAGATCAGATGGCCCGAGACAATGAGCAACAAGGAACTCACTCCAGCTGGCTGGCAATGAAGCAACCAAGAGCCTATTGCTCAACAAATATGCAGGGGAAGGAAGTGGAGATGAATTGGGTATGCACTGAGAAGGTGGATTGGGGACATCATGCGTCAGACCAGGCCGTAGAGTGGAACCCAGACGGGTACCGGCGAGTTGGGCTTCTGAGGGGAGGGTGACATGGAGGAGATCATGTGAGGAGGAAATGAGAGCTTCTGGGGAGTCGTGGAGCCAGGTTCAAAAGATTTCAGAGAACAGAGTTCACCGGAGACGTACTACTGAAGCCGTGTGTTTCACTAGGAACCCAAGAGCAAATAAATAATATAATAATAAAGTGTCTGGAGTACAAACCTGTCGTATTCGACATTAAAGGGAACAAACTAAATTTATTTATCGGCTTAGGAGAACCCAGTTATGTAAGTTTGTCATTTGTTCATGCCATGTAGGTTTTTGATAAATGAGTGTTTTAAACGTCTCATCATGTCTTCTTATTAACAATACATCGAAGAATAGCATCTTTAGGTGTGATGTCATCCACATACTTATATCTATAGAATTTAAACTACCTGGTAACCGGACAGAGTATGGTTGTTTTGACCATAAATATACCTATTAAACGTTCGAAATTGTTGCCTTTTTTTAGACCATGTTATTCTGGAACAGTACCAAGCTCAAGTCTCTGCTGCATTACGACCTGCATTTATGTATACTTCATCATCAGATTTATATGAAAGCGGTATGATTATAGAACCATCCACTGGAAATATTTCCACATCATCTATTATCTTTCAGCCTAACCCTGAATTAATGAATATAGCTTGCCAAGTTTGTAGTAAATGGATTACTTCAGGAGTTGGTCGTGATCCAGAAGATTTACGTCGTGTACAAGATCTTTTAAAGCAAGCATTCAATAAATTAACATTGAATACTACCAATGAAAATCATTCATCTGATACTTCAATATCAATTCAACGTACAGAATCATCTCAATGGATATCTGAAAATTCGAAAATTGTTGAAAGACTTTCTATTCTAGCTGCTTGGGCTGAAATTTATATTGTAACAACTGAACAAGCCATAAAATGGGGAAGCAAATTAAACCGAAAACAACAGTTCGAGTCTAGTCAATCACAACGGTTAGATGATGAACAACCAATCGATGAATCAGATGATATGATAAATAATACTCAAACTGATGAAGAATTCGACTATAGTACACTTATAAAAGGCATATCACTCGAAGATTTATTATCTACTGGTCAGTTGAAATACTTTGGCATACTTGTCATTAAAGTTTCTCATTGATAATCTTGATTGATAAGACTCTGATGATATCGAAACGATGGGATTTTGAGAAGAAAGTGGATCATGGATAGATTTGAAACAGAGGCCTGTAGATTGTTTATTAGATGCTTTGATTACACTTTAGTGTTTGAAGCAATGGCTACGAGGTTTGAGTCTTAGTGGGAACAACATCACTCATTAGTGTGTAGGTAGATCCTACTGACGAGTCATGTGTAGGACGAAATGCGCTATCTGCTTTCATTCTTTCAAAACTACTCCTTCAAACATGTTTTAATTCTCAGTGTTCATCACAACTGTATGTACTATTCGATGAATAGTGTAAAATTGTTTTGAAAACATAGTTTGGTTCAATTTCATGAAGTTATACTGAAGGTTACAGCTGGTATGCCATTAAAAGTGTATCTTAACCAACCTTTAGTTCTTAGAGAATATCCTAACCAATAAATATCACACCATAATCTCTAGTTGTGATCAGTGGAGGCAACCAAGTTGAACATGAGGACAGTTAACTCAACCACGGCATAACATGGAGGTCATACTATATCGTGAACTGACAGAAGTAGGAAAAATGGACCATTGAGTTCTGACCCAGTGACTCAATGGTATAGTGCTAGTCACGGAACCTGAAGGTCGTGGGTTCGATCCCTGGTGGGTGGAGTCGTGGGTGCGCACTACTGCGAAGTTCCACACTAGTGAGACGAAACAGCTGTTATCCAATGCTCTCAGATTTCCAACGTTCTTCCAACTGATGTCAGCATAATGAATTCAGACTGGATTTCGACATTCATTTCCTGCAAAGTGTTCAACACCGCAACTATAATCATCGTTTATTATGGAAAGGAGGAATCACTCGTTTTAACAATAAGGTCCCAGGACAGGCACAAACATTATGTGTATGCGTGAGGGGAGAGGGCGAAGGGTATCATTTGTGTTAGTTATTTTATAGTACCAACATGTTTTATCACCTTCAACACATGGTCTTAATTAGACCTCATAGTTGTAATATCAATCACAGGGAAAAGAAAAGCAAATATCTGGTGAAACATATTCTTTTCTGGTATAAACAACAGGGAATTTGGTTGAGCAGATGATTGAAGTCTACGTGTTGGGATATTTCCCGAAGTAAATCAAGCGACATATTATGTTTACATTATTGCTGAACTGAATTGGGTGTTACTTCTCACATTCATCTACACACGCCATTTATGCCGACACTTCGGTCACTGTATAATAATACTAGGGTGAAACAGCTATGTACTCCTCTTCGGTATTCAATAGTTCTCCAGCTGATATCAGTTTATGATCGGACCCAAGACCTTCATGCTCTGCCACTAGCACGTTATCATTGAGCCACTGGGTCGGAACCCAGTGGTCCATATTTCATACTTCTGTCAGTTCCCGATACAGCCCAACCTCCATCCAATGTCGTCGTTGACTAACTGTCCTCACGTTCTATTTGGTTGGCCCTACTGGCCTGGACTTTTCATTAGAACTAAGTGGTAAACTGAAATCATATTTCTACTAGCTTCCATCTCTTAGTAGTCCATTGATGTGACCAATTCTCATGTGATACAATCGACCATTTCTTAGGATCATTGATCAATTAGTTTCACTATAGAATGAGGAAATCATTGGTAGCATGTGAGTACTAGACAGCCGTTCCGTCTTTGTTTTAAGACTTTTTCAGAGAGCATGTTCTTAATGATTCTTAAACTGAAATCGGTTCGTGATAAAAACTACAATCTTTTTGCATATAAAGAAACCCGGTGGTCGCTACTTCGAATCCCAACACGGTTCGAATTTCCATTTCACCTTCAATCATCATCATCCAGTAGGAATACTAGTCTGCCAAACCACAGCTATCTCAGATAGCAGTCAAAATAATAATCAAAATAATGCTTCTCTCCAGTTCAATTAGATTTGGATTGGAATGAGAAGTCCTGACTAGGCAGCTAGTGTGAATGAGATCAAGTGGTAGTAACGCGTGACGAATTCATATGGTAGTCGGGTGAAGTGCCTCGGTGATTGAAATGAAATAAAAATGTGGTAAGCAGTTGGACTTTGTAGGTGAGTTTGTAGAGTATCGGGACGGAAACTTGATGACCTCTTGGTCGAATCCCGGTGTCGCGGTGCAAATTTTCATTTCATCTCCAATCATCATCCAGTAACAAGGTAATCATTGAACTATCTACCTTTTCTTGACACTTTCTGATTAGATTTTAAATCGGATCAGCTTCATCTTGGTTCTTTGACAAAACGAAGAACAACTACAAATAAGCCAATTCAACGTTTATTAGTGAAATGGATTCAGCCTATTCTGCCTAGTTTAAGTCAAGCTTGGTTGGATGCATTAAAAGATTATGCGTGTATGAATTTACCTGAGAATTTGTCAAGTCAACAAGTAGTTGATACCAAAAATTCAACAACATCATCCAATGTGAACAACAACAACACTAACTACAATCTTGATCAGATTCGTGTATATTATGCACGTTATTGGCCGTGTATGACATATGCTCTTTCTTTATGGCTGTCAACTAGTGAGGTGACGGCGACACCGACAACTATGGCGGCATCATCATTTACTGATGAAGACAAGGTGAACACAAATGTAAAGGGTAGTATGCTGTCGAAATCAGCACGTCAATTCTTTTTGATTTTAGGTAAGAAAATGAAGTTGTTTGATTTTTTTAAAATTAACCACGCAATATCATTATTTTTGTTTGAAAAATTCATGAGATTTATTCCGTATTAGATTGTTTATTTCATGTAGCACACGGTAGTGGAACAGTATAATTTACCGGAATCTACTGCCCATATTCATATATCAAAGTAATCATACAACTTCCAAAATCCCCCTGTATATACTCCAACACCTCATTCATTCTATTACCTTAATGGTGGTAGTAAAAGTTTCCACACATCTGTAATATGTATGACGAGTCATTCCTGTTAGGTGCTAGTTGATTTAATGAGGGGAACGATTCGATGACCAATCTCTCCCTCCATCTAGCCAGCTATATTGGGTTTTATAATTATCAGCCTATTCCATCCACCCAAACTGTAGTGTGATTATGGATTACTGTATGTAGTGTGATAGCCGAGTTTGTCTCTAGACAACGTATCTTAGTAGGGTCTACCATTGTATATCTCACAGAAAACATCAAACAGGTTATCTTATTAGTTGGCTTTAGAAACACTCCAACATATGAGTTATCTCAATATTTAACAAGAATACTATGCCGTATAAAAAATTGTTGAAAATGTAGGCTCACTAATTCAATTGAATTGAAAGACAGACTAAATAATATGCAATTAGACGAGGAAGAAAAGATAGTCAGTTTTGATGTGATGAGCTTCTATAGAAATATAACAATCTGGGAGTTGAGGCAATCAGAAATGAACTGACAACTGACAATGAATTCAGTAATGGAAGTAGAGTTTCTTCTGAATAAATTATGCTAGAGATAAGATTATGTTTAACTTCCACAGTTTTCAAATTTGAAGACAAAATATGTAGACAAACAGAAGGAGTAGTGATGGGATCTGGAATATCGCCAATTGTAGCAGACAAATTTATGTGTAGAACTGGGAATAAATAACATTAGGAGCATTCTAAGCCACTGGAAAAGTGTGGTGGTGGTGATATGTAGATAAGACATTTACTGTTCTGAAATGACAACATATGCAGAGTTTTGATTCGCACATATCAACTTCTTGATGATATATGCAATGCAATTCATACTTATGAATTATAAAATGAAGAAGGAGACTTATCTATGTTGGATTGTGAAATGGAGTTGAGAGAAGATGGCAGCTTAGATACTAGTGTTGACAAGAGAGCAACTTTTCCGATCCTGGTATTGGCATCCTCGTCTGTGCCACTGTAGTTGAAACGATGCTGCCTAATTAGGTATATGTGAACGAGATAACTTCCTTTAGGTTTCTCTTGTTGATGATGGTTGGTGCTTGTTGTCGTTGTTTTTGGTTGGCCATCTTCATCACAGTTGTCTCCTCTATGTTCACCTGAAGGAAGTGTCATCTTCACTGTCTTGCCTCCTCTGCCAACTTGTTAGTTTTCGCCTGTACATCTTCGAGTTTGTGCGACATTAGACATAAATCGTCATCATCGAAATCCAAATCTTCTAGGCTCTTTTCATCGGTCCATCTTCTCACTCCTCACGGTTTCCTTCATGATCCAGTCGACCAAAATCAGGAAGATCATGGGTGATAGTAGGTGGCAGCCTTTTCTTACTCCTCTCTTCACTTCAAAGGCATCACTGACTTTTCTATTGTGGATCACTTGGGATGTGACGTTTTCATATAGCTGTTGAATGAGGTTTATAAAGATTTGTGGTACTCCGTAGTGTTGAAGCAGTTTTTAAATTACTTCTCGATCGACGCTGTCAAAGGCCTTTTCAAAGCCGATAAAGTTGAGTTGACTGCCATTCTATTCAATGATTAATATTTAGCATATATACGTGATGGGTTAAATATTTAGCCAGCAACTGAAAGTACTTTCATCAGTTTATCAAACATGATTATTTCATATAGTGGTAACAATGTTAGTTATAAAAATTTATTCCCTATTACCTTGTCTAATTATTTCACTTTAAGGAATGTGCGTTGAAGCTATGTGTAATACTACATCGAAACAACCAATATCAATTATTCATACATGTCTACGTTGTATTCTATGCCTGTTAAGTAGATCAAAGTTTCGTGCTTATCTTATGCAATCATCAACAGAGATATCTATTGAACTCTTACTAGTAATACATAGGTAAGTTTGTATTGATTACATGAATAATTATTAATTGAAAATATTCACTTTCAAACTTGACATTTGTTCTTGGTACTGTATACCATAAAAGATAGATATGCTAACAAACAGCCATTTGCACTTCAAATCTCTTTCTGTACACAAATCTATGAGTATTATGTTATAATCTATAGTATACTGTGGTTTTTACTCAACTGTTTGATATAGGATTGCTCAACTCAAGGCTAGACCGATAAGAAATTAGGGGTATCATACTACGGTTACTATATAACTAACGTACATACATATATTAAGAGGTACCGTGAGATTGAGTTATCTAACTTGATGAGCATACTGTGAATCAGTTAATAGAATTCGATCAGCTCACTGGACTAGACAACACGCAGTTGGTAGTTGCCATCTAGTGACCAATCGATGTGCATAATCCAGTCCTACAAGAGGTCAGTCATGGCCTGACTAGCTTATTAGTAACGTCTCTGGCTGTAGCACTGACTGATGTGGGTTCGAATCTCAGGTGGGATGTCAATTCCCTTGAGATTACATATACACCTTGCTAACGAATGCTAACATGCAAAAAACCTTGTCATCAACCAGGTAACATTTATCAAAGTGCACAGTGATGCTGAGTCGCCTACCCTAGTGACCGCATTAAAGAATCACTAGTGAAATTCAATCAGCACTCAGGACTAGTGTTATGGAGCGCTACAATATAACCTACATTCTTTTACGACGACTGGAAATCCCTGAAAAGCCTTTGAAACTGATCATCACATGTCGGACGTTCACAGAAAACGACGGCTAAGAAGCTTTCTAGAAAAGTGTAGAACATGCCATCGAACAAATGTATATAAACTGTTAATTTTTGTACATATTCGACTTGACAATCAACCTTTTATCACTTCTGCCGTTTTTTCTCTGTTTTCGAGAAATGAATGAGTAGCTTGGCTTAACGAGAAATGGTTTGTGATTGTTAAACAAGGTGAAATAGCCGAAGCAGCAATCAATAATGATACAGAAATCTACGGGACCTATACATCACAAACCAGTTCATCAGAGTAAGCTATCGAATAATTCAAGAAGAAATCTTGATAGCTTACAATTCATATTGAAGTTAGTGACGATTGTACAAACGTAACATACTTTACATTATTCGAAGATGATTGGACTTCTATAAGAGAACAACTCATCTTTCCCTACACGATTCCCCAAGTCAGATACAGATTTAAGCGTATTTCTAAAATGAACAACACTATTAATTAAGTTGTGACAAAGTCTTATCATTTTGACTGTTTTAGATAGCTGTGGTTTGGCGGATGTATATTGATGCTGGATGATGATGACTGAAGGTGAAATTAAACACTACGTCCGGATTGAAACCAGCGACCATTGAGTTTCCTTTCCGGTGCTCTACTAACTGAGCTACTATATAGTCTTAGTTCGACGGTAAAATGATAATCAAAGTTTTGGTGTGATTAGGACAAACACTTTTTGGATTACTGATGATATCGGTCACATGCTATTTATATTTTGCCTTGAAATGATGGAGAGTGTTTTTAGTTTCAGTGGATAATCTTGATTGTATTGGATTTTCTGAGTTGAGGGCGGTTGAATCACAAAGCTTTTATTGTCTTTCTAGACGAAAATGTCATAGGCTCTAACTTCAATATGAAGTGGCTTCTGATTGGTCAATTAAAAAAAACAGCCAATAGAAGCAGACAATAGTGACACTAGGAAACAACCAATCATAAACCAGTTCTTCAGAACAAGCTACTGAATCAGTTACGAAGATATGCTGCCTGGTCACTTCATGTTGAAGTTGGTACTGATGTCCTTGTAGTGTAGAAAAAAGACTATGAAAGCTTTGTGGTTACATCAGCCCAGCTCATAGAATGCAACACAACTAAGATATTCTGCCGTGTATACTTATTTGTTGACATTTTTTCTTCTTTCATTTCCATTATTTTTGTTTTCAATTCAATACAAAAAACATGCTAGACTCTTACTTACACGTGAATGTATTGAAACACATTTGTTGTGCTTAGCCAATGTAATTCATATACTGATTGCAGCCAATGAACGCTTGACTAAAGAACGTGATGATTGGTTAACTAAAGGTAAGATACTTTCGTTGAAGAATTACTAACAAAAAAAAACTAAAAATAACATTTTGTTTTAATGATTCCATAATTTCCTAGTTGAATTGATCTGAAAGAAGAAATCGGTTGATGCAAAAGCTGTAGATTATTCGTTAATGCTTTTTTAACTACTCATTTTATTATTCAATAGTACTTTTTCAAGTTGACATATCGTCTAAAAGTTCACGTTTTAAAAAAAATCCTATGTAAAGAATGAGTGGCTTTTATTCATTGATCATCAAACAATCATACCACATTTGTTACGCAATACCCAAGTACGATGACCTCACTCCCTTCGAGTGGTTAGATCGAACCCTGTAGAGGATCATGAGTGACCTGAGCTCACAGGGTGTTTCATTGTTGAGCTAAAGATGCATTTCCGTTCTGCCTTTCCTAGCTAAGCTGGGTAGTGTTCACGGGCAATTTTTACAAGCAGACTCATGGTACAGCCGATGTGCTCAGCTGTACATTGAGCATATCAATATGGCCCAATGCATAGGCTTGTCTTTTACAGACTGATCAAAATAATTCTAAGGTTAACGGCGGAGTATGTTCTATTGAAGGATATTGACAGTCGTTTTTTAAAGATATCTGCAACATTGTCATTGTCAAAAGAATCTTCGATGATAAATTCGTTTGGCTTTAAGTTGTTATGTGTATGGATCCAGGAAGGGGGAACCGTTTTCTATTAGAGTTCTTCAAAGATGTCACAGTTCCCCATTAACAGTATTCTTAGTATATATTTTCCTGATCCTCCAAGAAAGTGTATGGATAAGATTTCTTTTCTTACTTAGAGGGGGCCAAATTTTGAAAACTAATCAACTGTCCGTTCCATATAAACTTTATGCAAATAGATTTACGAAGTGAATTATTGTCTTTCCTTTTTAGTTGAACATCAAATAAATGGAACGTTGAGTTTGATCTTGATCCTAAAATGAATTTGATTGAAGCATGAGCTCTGTTGAAAGCATAAAACAGATTTGCAAGATTCATATTTTCATTACAAACTATAAAAGTATCCTCAATGTATCTTTTGTAGGATATGAACCTCATTGATTGTTGTTGGTAGGTTGTGTTTTCCAAGCTTGCCACGAAGGAGTTAGCTAAGGGAGAAGGGAACCCCCTTGTCACACTGTCTATCTACTTTTAGATTTCACAATTAAATCTAAAGCATATGTTGAAGGTACCATCGAAGAAGAAGAAGAAGAAGAAACTCTTGTAACCAGTGATTTGAAATACCAACATCTATGTTAATGGAATTGAATGAGGTCACATAAACGTCGAAGGATTTCTATCAGTTACATATTTGTTAAGAGAGGGATACAATATCCAATGAAATCATTCTTTTACCTGTTAAAGTGACAGATAATTTTGTTTTAAGGATTTCCACAGTTGATCTCACAATTGAATGATATATATAGAGTTTATCATATGTAATATTGAACCAAGTAGAATACCTTCTTAATGTGTAGTTTTTTCAAAAGTCTATACTAATTAATTCCTTTATCTTCATTACAATTGTTATTATTATGATTACCGTTAGTGAATGGAATAAAAATGCATGAATTTCAGTTTGAGATCAGTTAGCTAGCTAGTTAGTCAGTTGGTTAATGTGTTAATTTCTCCTACTCTGTATCAAAGTTTAGATTCGATGTGAAATGCCAATGTTTTTTTAGATTTTATTGACAACCCTTACTAGAATAGTGAAGGCAGAAACTTTCAGAACGCATAAAACTCAAATGTTCAGGTCTGATGGAACTCATCAATCTTTGTATCACAACATACTTCCAATTCAATGGCAAGGAAGGAACTCTAATGGGATCAACGATATCCGGATTATTTGCAGTCGCAATGATGCAGAGACTGGAGACCATTATTCTACCTGTGGTCAAACCAAGAATTTGGATTCGTTAAGCGGATGACACTTTTGTCATCATTAAAAAAAGATGATATAGAGACTACCCACAATTTAATCAACAACGTTTTCAATGACATCAAATTCACAATGGAGAAAGAGTCAAACAACCAATTACCATTCCTGGATATTTTAGTCAGTAGGACAAATGCTGGAAAACTGGAAATCCAAGTATGCAGGAAGCCAACACATACTGACCAAATCCTCAACTACAATAACAACAACCCAACAATACACAAAATCAGTTGCGTGCAGACTCTATTCAAAAGAGCAAGAACACACTACAGCACAATAACTTCACGGAGAAACGAAGAAAATTACTTGATGTCTATCCTAAAGAAGGGTGGCTACCCACGAAACTTTATCAGTGGTTGCCTATCCCGTACATCATCAACTACAAAGTCATCAACAGAAATCAACAAATGCATCATCCTACCATACACAAGGAATATATTAGAGATCATGACAAGACTATGGAGACCACTTGGGATTGGTGTGGCTGGCTCATGAACCAACAAATTCCCTCAAAACACTATTATGCAGACCAAAGGATGCGATAAGCAAAGAAGATAAACCGAATATCATTTACAAAATCAACTGCAATAATTGTAGTTAACACTACATTGAACAAAGCGGTCGTCCTCTTCGCTTTCGTCTTTATGAGCAATTGGCTATTAGACATCCTGACATTTCATCACTCATTTCAATGCACGTAGATAACAACTATGGACATGAATTCAATTTTGATAGTGTAGAAATCTTGGATGGAGAGAGGAAATACAAAGAATGTCAGGGAATTCCTAGAAGCTCGGTTGGTATTCACGTCAGTTAGTCAGCAATCAGTAGATATATATACATAGACCCAATCTATCAACCAATGAGAAAAATGATAAACGATGGAAAGGTCAGAGGTGAAGCAGAGGAACGGCCAACAGGAAGTCATTTAGTCAATGACACAACAATCGAAGGATACAACCAATCACAGACCACCTCGTCAGAGCAAGCTGCTAAATCACTCACGGAGAGATATTGACAGCTCACTTCATACTGAAGTTAGTGCTGATGATTTCGTCTAGAAAGATGATGAAAGCTTCATGATTTAACAACCCAGCTAAGAGAACACAATACAACCAAGAAATGTCAATGTTTTTTATTTTAATTTTATGGACAACTCTCGCTAGAATAGTCTGTATATAATGCACATCTCAAAGTTGATAGAAGTTGGTTATTAGTTGAAAACAAATCTAAGGATTCTATCTGGAGGTTTGCGGTGATTCATTATTTGATTTTAGGCTAGTATTCATTATGGACTGATATAATTTGGAGAAACATTGGAAATCTAGGAGTATTGGACATTTGTTTCGACCTAGTATGGGACTCCTTAGAAGTGCGCACTCATAACCCCACCTATCAGGGATTGAACCAAGAACCTTCAGGTTCCGTGACCAGCACATTACCATTGAGCTAGCCAATGAGTCGGAATCCAATACTTCCCATTCCCCCCATGATGAATTCCAACTTAAAATCTCATTAACAAATCTGCATAAACCTCAGGCACTCATTTGTGACTGGCTTCGAGATGTGGTTCCTGAAGTCCCAATGAGAAGTCGTCGCCAATCGAAGATGAGGATAGTTACTCAACGATGACATTGTATATAGGTGGCTCTATATGGTGAACCGATAGAAGTAAGAAATATGCACCATTGAATTCCGACCCAGTAGCTCAATGGTAACGTGCTCGTCGTGGAACCTGAAACTCGTGGTTTCGACCCCTAACGGGGTTATGCATGCGCACTACTGAGGATTCCCATACTAGTATGACGAAACAGTTGTGGTCCAGTGGTCCCAGATTTCCAATCTTCTTCCAAGTGATAGTTAGCGTATGATGAACTAAGGATTGATTCCCCAGTGGTTGTTCTATTTTACTTTGACCTATTTATAATCCCCATCCATAAATATTTTGCCTTTTCAGCTAACAGAAATTCAGGTAAAGAGGTCTAGACTAACTGACTGATTGAAAGGGAGTCCCTGAGATGATTGGAATCAGTGATTGAATGGTCTTAGTGACATGGTTGACTATCAGTCACAATGGCGCAAAATTTATTGACTATTTGAGATGTTTTAAAGCTTGAATATTCGCACTAACCTTTACCTTCAAATGGCTTATTTTCTCAGACAACCTGTCAACTTTGATATCCGTCTTCTTCGATCCAACTGTTCTTTGTATCCTATTGTGGCTAATGATTATCGGGGGTAAAGAGAAAAGACTAATTTGGCGGGGGCCAATCAAAATGTACTTCATGTGATCACGTCTACAGTTAAACAGACAGACGATGGATCAGCCAATCGACAGGATTATTAGCTGTATTCTCATTTGTTCTTGTCTTCGGTTCTTCGATCCCAATACACGTTTATGCACGTCCATCGTATCTTCTCCATTAATTAGTCAGGTCGGGAATCAACTAGCAACTTGTTGAATATTGGTGGTTGACACTCGATATCCATGCATCCTTAGAGGCCATAGCACGTAAAAATTTTTCGAAATCATAACAGTGGCGACGGGGATGCGATATTGGGAAATGGATTCTTCGAAGTTGGACAATTCCCTCAAACAACAAATGAGGATTCTTGAGATACCTACACAATCTAAAGTTTCTAGTAGTGAATTATCGCCTACTACCCTAGTCTTAATACCTCCTTCAGTTGATGGTATTTCCAATAGCATGACTGCATTTTACCACAATCCTGATGCCAGTGAGACTTTCGACAGTTGATTCAGGCGTTACGAAGACTACACCAAGGTGGATTTCACTGGCCATATGATTCCTCCCACTTCGGGAGACCAGTACAGCAACATGATTTAGCCACAGAACCCATGTGGTCGCACTTTCGACACCACAATCCACACACTGAATGACACGTTTGAGGAATATCAATGGCTGAGTGACCTGTATCTCGTGACACGTGTTTAACCCAATCTGGACACCAGGGTTGTTGTGAAGTACATACAATTCGCCAGATATCTCATTCCTCTATATAACCCTCTGACCATACACAGACCCTGGCCTTATCTTGCCTGTTCATCGGCTCAGTGACTCATGCGATACCAGCAGGTCCTGGAAGAAGATGTCCCCATCTTCTTGCCAGCATTGTGGTGCCTGGCATTTCGTTAAATCTTGTCCACATAAACAACGTTGATGCCTGGACTGTAATACTGGGGGCCATAAGGATGGTTTTCGTCGGTAACACATACAACGACGTGTACAAAAGTCATCCTTCAGCTATCGCCGCAGATCTCACTCTCGATTGGTAAACAAATCTCTTGGCTTGGCTGATTTTTATGCTCATGCACCCGCCTGCTGAAAGAATATCGAGAAGACTACTGGTCTCTCCAGTAATGAAGGTGTAACTCCCTTGGCGTCAGTCAGATAGATGTGAGAAAAAAGCAATGTGGCCCAATCTGATTCTAAATAACATTTCTTCGAAGAGGGAGATGATATACGGATAGAGAGAAAAGATTAGTTTGGAGAGGGATCAATGGAAATGTACTTCATATTATCACATCTATAGTTGGACAGAAGGATGATGGATCAACCAATACACGTTTCTACACGTCGATGATGTTTTCTCCACTAATTAGTCTTGTCAGGAATCAACTAGGAAATTGTTGAATATTGATGGTTCATACCGGATATCCGCACATTATTAGCACATGGCAGTTTTCAAATCATAACAGTGATTAAAGATGAAGACCATCGAGCCTCGTAGCTCAGTTAATAATAAAACACTGCGTCGGAAACCGGGAGGTCTTTGGTTTGAATTAAGGCGTCGCTCAAATTTCCATTTCACCTTCAATCAGTATAACCCAGTATAAATTTCTAATGTTCATTAATTTCTGATGATTAGTTTTCGTATCAGTTTACTATGATGTATGGATATTTAGAAACAGGATCAATACTTCTTAGAATTAAGGGCGGAAAAACAGCCTGGTCTTTCTTTCAGACTAAAGAGTTATCTACTCCATTGTTTACTTGCTACCTAATTTTCTTTTCAGACTTAGAATGATATAGATGAGGAATGTAGTGATAAGCGAAAAGACCACGTAGGTTTGATCCAGTCTTATTGAAACTGCCTCAGTTATGTTGAATAGGCATTACCAAGCTACGTGTGGTATTTTTTTCTTGGCATATGATGTATGACACTGAAAGCTTTACTTTATAAAGCATCTGCGTAATGCTGTATGTCTACTAGGTGCACTGAAATGAAACTTCCCCAACCCCAACCTGTTTCACTTCACCTTTTCCAAATCAACCTGCTAAATGTTCTCATATACCGGAGACGTACCTGTCTGTCTAATCGCACACCCTTTGTAAGTTGTTCCACAGATATAGTTGAATTAATATATATGAAAAGCTGAAGAGCTAAGATTTGGTTGGCTACCATTTAGTCTGAAACCGGCTATTGACCGACTAATTATGAATAGTTGTGAATCCATCTATATGCCAGGTTGTGTTTTAGTGTTACTGCTATCGAAGGTAGTCTACAACTCTCGTAAAATGACCTCCACCTCCAAGATGCTATATCTCATATCAGCACATCAAGTAACAAGGCAATAAAATGGAAGATGAAGTAGAAGCAGAAAGTAGTAAAGGAGAACAATGAAGTGTAGATATGTCTGTACCAGTCATATCACCTACAGTTTCCAACCACTGGTTTCTCTTGCCCTGCGGACCTCAACCGATTAGTCTACATTGCCCTACGTGGCTGAAACTAACAGTCAAGCACTTCATGCATTGATGCCACGGTCTAATCTGGCTGCCCCAAGCCTTTTACCGGCATGAACCTACTTCGGCCAACCTTATGTGACGAAGCAGATGGTGGGTAGGTATACGTAACATATCCCAGCCATGTCAATCAGTGAAGGTTCACCACTTCATCAACTGACTCACCTCTCCTGCCTAAAACTCTCCGCCTGGTTTCTGCGTTACTCATATAGTAACACCACGAGACATGACCTATGTTACGAAGGTAACAATCGTCAAACACCTGAAGCCTTTTTATGTCTTCTACCTGTAATGTGCATGTTTCACAATCATAGAGTAGAACAGAATGGACTGCAGAACAGTATACTCGATCCCTAATCGACAATCGGATATCACGGCGACGCCACATAAGACGTAAGTTTGCTAAAGCCAACCGAGCCTTTTCTATTCGTGCGGAGATTTCTGCGACTACTGACACATTGGGGTTGATGTGACTTCCTAGGTAAGTGAAGTGTCCAACGCGCTCAACCACTTCACTCTTTATTGTTAGTTGGATAACCGTTGAAGACTAATCCTGGAGTAACAGTTTGCATTCGGGTGGCCAGAAATCCCATTGAAAGTGTCCAGAAGACTTTACATCTCCACAACTCACACACATATTAATGCCTTCATATCCACATGTTCTATTCTTATGTGTTCAAATAATCCACCACTTCTTATTCTTACTAGTACATGCCTAAAAGCATTCTATAGAAACTCAAAGTCAAACTTGTTCGTATAAATAGGATCCTAAGTTATCTGCATAAACCTTGTCGTAGAATAAAGCTTCTAAGATATAGAAAATTCGTTTTACAGCGTAAATCATGTTTGTGTGTTTGTTTGTTTGTTTTTTGAAATATTTTAGACATAAGTTTTCTGAACAGTAAGTAGTATGTTGATGTTGAGATAATTGTTTATTATTCTTACAGAATCCTCACAGAACGATGTCATAAATAATCTGCTTATTTCACCGGAACTAAAAACTTTTCGAAAGAATTGTATGACATCAAGTATAATGTTACAGACAACAGGTTTAATTGATGCTCAAATGTATGAACATGGTGAAGGTGGATATTTAGCTAGATTTTTCGATTCTCACACTACTGATCATGATGAACAGGACAATAATAACAACAATAACGTTAAGGATAATAATATTACCGCTTTTGATAGTCAAACAAATCTGTGTAATAAATATGGAAAAATATTTGCTGGACTACACCCTGAACGATCAATTGTGTTCACTTGTCTAGAAATTGTTGTGTGTATAGTGGCACGTTATCGACCACAAGTTATTAAACATCTACGTACTTTAAATACAGACAATACTGAGGATAAAAGTAAGTTGGGTTTACTTTCTTGATTCCGTTTGATATTGTGTTTATTCTACTCTATACTAGATGACTATGGTTTGGTGGATGATGATGAAAGGTGAAGTGATGATTTGGTGTGCAACTCAGTTGATAGAACAGCATCGGACCGGTAACCCTGGAGTCACTGGTTCGAGTCGAGATTTTTCTCTCACCTTCAGTCCTTATATATATATATATATATATATATATATATATATATATATATGATTGTGTTCTCAGTGGAACTCGAAGGTTCTAAGTTCCATCTCTAACTGAGTCGGGTGTGTACTGCTGAGGAGTCTCGTGCCACGACGAAACACCTGTCCATTACGCCAAGATTTTCAATGATCCTCCAACTGATATCATGCCATTCATCTATGTAAATAATATACATGAGAAGCTGTAATAGATAAAGGTGTAATCACCAACCGGGAACGTTATAACAAATACCTCAGTAGATAATCCATCTTACCTATTTTCTACAAATCTACTGAAGTTGATTAAGGAAGTTTTGGTGTGAATGAATAAACGTTATTCACAGTAACATATACCTTTGTTGATGATTATTGAGTTACACCTTTTATTTGTTTTTTTAATTTTGAGCTTGATATACCATGTTTACCAGGGAATGTTATAATAGTTGTAAAACTGATGTTAAATTTATTCACAACATAACCTAATGGAAATCTTCCCTGAACTCACTGATTCATAGTATTTCCAACAGTTTTTAATTTAGAATTAATTTTGTCAGCAAAACGACGTTTCCCTCTGACTCTCATCATAAAATAATTACTCTTTTATACTGGGTAATAATGATTAAAAAGGTGAAATGAAAATTTTGACCGCAGCTGAGTTTCCGGTCGGGTACTTTACCAACTGAACTAAAAGACCCGAGCTGGAAACCTGGTGGTCACTGGTTTCAATACGGTCGGGGTCCAAATTTTCATTTCACCCAGTATAAATACTAATCTACCAAACCACCATTACCTTAGATAGTAAAAATGATAATTCGTGGACTGACATCAGTTGGAGGAACATTGGAAACTTGGGGGTACTGGACAGCTATTTCATCCTAGTATGGGACTCCTCAGCATTACGGACACACAACGTTACCTACCTCCATCAGGGACCGAACCTAGTACCTTCGAGTACCGCAGACAGCACGTTACCATTGAGTCACTCGGTCGGAATACAATAGTCCATATTTCATACTCCTATCAGTTCACGATATAGTGCCACCTACATCCAATGTCATCGTCGAGCGCTCATTAGTGACTAGCTTCTAGAGGTGATTCCCAAAGTTCTAATGAGAAGTTGTAACCAGTGAAATCAACCAAGTCGATCATGAAGACAGTTACTAAACGACAACATTAGATGTAGGCCGCGCTGTATAAAATATGAACCATTGACTTCTGACCCAGTAGCTCAATGGTAACGTGCTGACCGTGGATTCTGAAGGTTGTGGGTTCAATCCCTGGGGAGGCAAGGTTATGCGTGCGTATTACTGATGATGCCCATACTAGTGGGATGAAACAGCTGTTATCCAATGCTTTACATTTGTTTAGTTATCTTGATTTGACTATGGACATTAAATAGTGTAGGAAATGTAATCCTGTGGTAAATAATACTATGTTACAGTTTCATAGAACAGAGCAGAGAATGGCGATCAACTCTCCAACTCAACTTCATCCACTTTGAGAAGGCCTTTGACAGCGTCGACCGACAAGTAATTTGGCGGTTGCTTCAACACTACGGAATACCACAGGCTTTTATCAATCTCATTCAACAACCATATGAAGAAGCCACATGCCAAGTAATTCACAGTGGGAAGCTCAGTGACCCCTTTGAAGTGAAGACAAGACTGTCTACTATCACCCATGATATTCCTGATTGTAAAGGACAGCATCATGCAACAAACTGTGAGGAACGAGAGGAGGGAGATACGCTGTTTTACCGAGGAAAAGATCCTAGAAGATTTGGATTTCGCCGATGACTTTATGTCTAATGTCACACAAACTTGAAGATGTACAGGCGAAAACTAACAAGTTGACAGAAGAGGCAGGGCAGGGCAGCGAAGAAGGGACCTCCTTGAAGTGAACGTAGAGAAGACACAGGTGATGAAGATACCCAACCAAGACCACCATCAACAACAACAGCAACAACAAGCTCCAATCACCATCAACGGGAGAAACTTAAAGGAAGTAGCCTCCTTCACCTATCTAGGCAGTACTGTTTCAATTACAGGTGGCACAGACGAGGACGTGAAAGCAGCCAGGATGGAAAGACAGCAAGACAGGCGTTCAATAACCTGAAACCAGTGTGAAGATCTTCTGCACTCAGCATGTGGAACAAGATCCGGATATTCAACACCAACGTCAAGTCAGTGCCTCTGTATGATGGTTGAGAGACTTGGCGCGTTACGAAAGGGATTTCCAATAAACTAGAGACATTCATCAACAACTGTCACCTACGCTGGCCTGTTACTGAAGATCAGATAGATCGCCAGAAAGAATAAGCAACAAGGAACTCACTCCGGCTGGCTGGCTGGCAACGAACCAACCAAGAGCCTATTGCTCAACAAATATACAGGGGAAGGAAGTGGAGATGAATTGGTCATACACTGAGAAGGCCGACTGGGGACATCACGCGTCAGGCCAGCCCCTTGAGTGGAATCCAAAGGGGAAACGACGAGTTGGGCGTCCGAGGTGAGGATGACATGGAGGAGATGGTGTGAGGAGGAAATGAGAGCTTGTGGGCAGTCGTGGAGCCAGGTTCAAAATACTGCAGAGAGCAGAGTGCACTGGTGACGTGCTACTGAAGCCATGTATTCCACTAGGAATCCAAGGGACAAATAATATTATTATTATAACTGGTTAGCCAATCAACTTATTCGTATCAGTAGACTAGTTAGTGAACGACTGTAAACGTTTATTTCGATACACACCTATGACCCGTATTGTATGTACAACCTACTTACAACTATAAATGATTACAAATTGTGCATACTCTTTCTCCTTCCCTTCCCTCTCTCACACACACACACAACAACAACTCATAACTATGCCCTTACCAATGAACTCAAACTTTCTACTGAACATATTTTAGAGGGGGAAAAAAGGTTAACTCTATGGATAAAGTTACCGATTCAACTACACATTTCTTATCTCACATTCAATTGTGTGTCTTTCTAAATTCAATTATTCTCTTATAAAGGTTTGTTTAATTTCATTTACCTACCTTTTCCTTAGGACTTATGAAATCAACGAGAAACAGATGTGTAACCTGAAGTATAAAACTTCAGTGTAGTCAATCTATGAAGTGACTTAACCAAATATATTTCGACAGTGAAGTGTTGGAGGGTAGTATTTCACTATGAAGAGAGTACTGAACAAGTATATAATGCTTGTCAAAGCTCTCTGCTTAAACTCATGCGACCGTGTAAAGGCTTATGAAGAGTTGTTATCACAATTGATAATAACTAGTAGTGTATGTCCTCTAGAGATGCCCACTGTCACCGTTCCTATTTAACTTTGCTATAGACATATTAATTGGCATAACCTAAAATGCGTCTGACTTCATACGAATTAATCTACTCCCTGGAAGTCATGAGATTGACTTGGTGATGATACTGACAAAATCAAACGTCTTCCTCAATATGTGGAATAGAAATCTGAGTTTGTTTACAATGTGTTTAGCACCTGCCAAATGTAAATTGATACTCCAGGACTAGTCTGAAATCACTCCTAGTTTGATAGGAAGTAAAGTTGTGGGAGGTGTCGACCACTATACTTACTTGAGCTGGTTGCTGATGAAATCTAAGTTCGGATTCAGTCGGCCTGTTTGGTATTTACTAACTTTTGTCAACTCTTGAGGTGATTGGTGAGATATCTGACTGTCTATCAAAGGAAGGGTACACTACACTACAGTCTGTCAGAATTCTGCTGATCTGCAGTGGACAAGAGTACGAAAATGCTATTATCCTTGTCATCTTCATTTGGAATCATCATTTGATCAATATTGACGTCAAACGAACAGTACTAGGCAAGATAGATAAGTCGATTGATAAGGTTGTGAACCCTAGTCGACTGAGATGTCAGGTTTGGATATGTACTGCGTATATCGAACCACCGCCTACCACGCTGCGCCATGCTAGAGGGAGTTGGACGATGGTTCAGGGTGGGGAGACGGAAACATGAGACCAGCAGATGAAGTCTGACAGTTGGTCTGAACTGTATGAGGAGATGGAGACTACCTGGTTGGGGTCCCTCAGACGAAAGGAATCAATGGTTGAGGACTCTTGGTGACATGGTTGAGAATCGGTCATAGTAGCACAGATGTATCCACTGCTTGACGTCTTCTAAAGCTTGAATATTTGCCCTACTACTACTGTTTACGGGTATAGAAAATTTACACTTGTTCTGAGGGCTTGACGACTGTCAATGATGTGCATGCAGTCTTCGATGTATGCAAGGCATGCAGTCAAACATTTCTTGTTATGAGTGAATCATCGTGATTCACACAACTTTTGTATATTATTAGATAGCAGAAAAAATCTTTCTACTCCACCACTATCATACATCTCCTTCAAAAAAGCAGTCTAAAGAAAGTAATCGATGATATAGTTGATGAGGAATGATGCAGTTGAACAAATCTATCCAACCTCAATCCTGGCTTTGAACAATGAAGAGAGGTGTTCATGTTTAGGATTCTTATGATGATAAACTTTTCACAGAGATCATACCTCTATATCAGATGATTCTGGAACATATTCCTGTTCAATGAGTTGATAAACAATGAGAATATAATCATCAATACATTCACAACCGATTTGTTTCTTGTTAGTTGCTGAAGTATAACAACAGCCATTGTTCTGGAAATGATTGGTTACAAACTAATACTCTAATGTAGTACCCTTAGTCTTGTATTCTTTTTCTAAATAATCTGATCAGGTATCTATCTAGGGTTCTTGTCTCATGATAGCAACGAGCCTGAAGTAATTTGCCTAGGTTATGTTGCTTTTAGTGTCTAAGTAGTCTGAGTTTCGTCCAAGATTCTATTTTCATGACAATGGCATGGAAGTATCCTGACATATGAAGGCTAAGTTAACCTAGAAATTTGGTTTCTCTATAGTTTCATAATCTCTATATGCTTCTTCCTTGACAAAAGTGTTCTGATTTAAATAATCTCATTTAACTTAAGCACAAATAGAAGATAAATGGAACAGAGAACAAATAAACGAAATAATGGAGAATATTTGTAGCCCAGGTGGCTGGTATTGGTTGTATTGTGTCGTCTGAGCTGGGTTGTTTAATCGTGAAGCTTTCATCGTCTTTCTAGACGACATCATCAGTACTAACTTCAGTATGATGTGAACTGTCAATATCTCTCCATGAGTTATTTAGTGGCTTACCCTGACGAACTGATTTATGATTGGTTGTGTCATTGACAAACCACAAAGATTTTCTGGTTAGCTGTTCCTCAGCTTCACCTCTGACCTTTCCATCGTTAATCTTTTCTCTCATTGGTTGATAGATTATGTCTATGTCTATACTTCTATTGATTGCTGACTAATTGACATAAATGCCAATCTATCAACCAATAAGAAAAATGATAAACGACAGAAAGGTCAGAGGTCAAGCAGAGGAACAGCCAACAGGAAAATCTGTACAGCCAGTCAATGACATAACAATCGAAGGGAACAACCAATCGCAAACCAGTTCGTCAGGGCAAGCTACTAAATTACTCATGGAGAAATATTGACAGCTGACTTCATAGTTAGTGAAGTTAGTGCTGATGATGTCGTTTAGAAAGATGATGAAAGCTCCACAATTAAACAACTCAGCTCAGAGAACACAATAAGACCAAGAATAAATAAACGAAAATTAACTTTCAGAAGGATAGCGAATATGGAAGTAAATATTAGGTATTGTAGTTAGCTGTTGATCCTTCTCTTCATCATGCCATTTCCATGTGAAGTAACAGTCAGATGAAGGATGTATCTAGGATGTTCAAATCAAGATGTGGCAACTATCAGTTTGAATTCTCAAGTTTTTATGAATTGGGTTCTAAAGAAAATCAGCGTCTAGAATCAGGAAGGAGCTTTAAGCAGGGGAATGGGGGGGGGCTAACTGTCACAAAATCGACTGTAGCAATAGAAGTGAATACATGCCATATGTCTCTTTTGGATATCTGAATAATTTACATGCATTTTAGTTATCCCCCACCCCCCTATCCATTCTTTCCAGTTTATTTAATCTCTTTTGACATAATCATCCTTGTTTCTTCGTTTTTCTTGTTGTATGAAAAGTTCGATAGTTGTCTGTTGTTATTGACTAACTGATATGTGTTAGGTGGTGGAATTTAGTTGAGTAGGAGTTCTTACTTAGATCGAGGTTTTGCATTCATCAACAATACTTAGGTGTAAGTGTAACCATTAGGGAACTGATGTTCGCTATTGTGTCACTCCACTTTATGGCCGTATCGGAAACTTGGCCAGTTAGTTTGTTTCATTGCTTGTAATTCCCCATCATTGATTGACCTGAAGTGATCAGCTGTTATTGGCATGTGTTCTCCTATACATATACCTCAATATTATCCGTAGTTTCAATTTCGTAGTCTTAGTAGGAACAATACCACTCACTAGTAGGCAGCTGATGGGTCCTAGACGGGACGAAACGTGTGTCCTGAATTCCATTGTTAACCTTTACCCATCATTATCTCGTTCAACAATTAGTGATAACCTATTGTGATAATAATAGTAATAATGATCGATTATTTGTGTATTGTTTCTTTTTACTTACACTTGGTATTTGAAGATCATAATATTATTCCAGAGACAGTGTGTGCCTCTAACTTCAATGCACCGTGTGTTCTAGCTGCAGCTTTAAAGTGTCTACTTCCATTGATTGATTTATGCGCACCAAAAACTCTTCTAAGTACACTTAGACTTGGTAAACAAAATCAAAATATGCAATCCAATCGTTATATACATGAAGAAAGTCAAGCCAATAGTCAACAAACATCACCATCTTATCAATATGAATGTTTATTACCGATTCTCTTAGATCTGGCTAGTGAAATAGCAAAGGTTAGTTTCTATCTATGACTAGATTTTGTGTAAAATTTCATTCTTTTGGTGTTTTTCTTTCAAATATCTAAATTGTGAATATGACTTTATTCGACAGGCGCCGATAGGCGTCGGCCAGTCGCTAACCTCCTCAATGTTATGATTTTTAGTGGTTGTTTGCTAAAGCCTACTATGCTTATAAACATGTCTCTCTAACATACAAATACAGTATAAATAGGTTAATGATCGGTATCCTGTAGACTAATAAATCATTCACCTTAATGCATTCAGCCTCCAAGTAATATATGTGCAAGGTTCTTATCTCCTCCTCTTCCTCTCTTCTTGAAGTAATTGAAAAAAGAAGGATTAGTGCGAGACCTCAGAATCCAAGGAACATATCTCCTTGAAGACGGTCACACACGGCGTTTTTGTAAGTCTATGATTTAGGTTTGTTGCATTCTTATCCAACAATAAACTTGTGTCGCAGGTATCAACATGTTGTTGGATGATGTGAATGTGGTATTTTTGGGGCCAGGTTTTTTAACCCCTTTCTTCACATAGAGAAGGTAGCATCAGCGTACCACTGATGGTCACCCAAGAGGGACACTTTACTGATTTCACAATTCTATCCAACTAGCTGTACGACTTCGCCTCGAACAGACCTTTCTGGTATGGTAGGATCTCTATGGAACAAACCTTCCACCGACATAATTCATTGTGTTGTTGTACAAGTTTGCCTACCTCGTCAAGATCAAGTTGTACATACCAACCGAACTGCTGGTGTCTCAAGGTCATCCATCAAGCAAATATTTTCATATTACATACTGTATATAACATTTATTGATTATTGTGTTTGAAAAACATTTCCAATCTGCTTTTTGTTGTTGTTAGGATGTTTTATTGAAACAATATTCAAATGAATTTCAAGTGAATAGATCAAATGAAGGCAACCGTAATCTAGGGATATTCAAGTCATATAATTTATCTTTATCTCAATCATCGAATTCCTTTACTTCATATTTAATTGATGATGATGAGACAGAGATTTCATCGACAACTACTAATTTATCTGTATGTATAAATGATATTGAACAACGATATCAACGTAGACATAGATATCATTGTTATATAAGCGATATAATTGGTTGGAATGAAGAATTATTTCAATTAGCTGAAGTGTATATAACATTAATGAATAAATTAACTACACATCATTATCCTACCTTATCAATAGTAAAAGTTGAAACTAATGCTACTGTCACCTCTACTGGTTCTTCACATCATCAAGATATCGCTATAACTACTAACTCATCAACAATTCTATCTTCACAGACTACTCAAATTCAACCTGATAGTAGTAGTATTATAAATAAAGAAGAAGAAATTTCTAATTCAAACAATAATAATAATAATGATATTCATTCTTTGTCTATGAATACTGGAAAGCATAATAATTCAGTGGTAAATGCTTATAACGAATGGTATAATTTAATTTCAAGGAATATGTTATCAATTCTTCTTCAACATGAACATTATAATGATATAGAGGTAAGTGTATTCTGATTTCTATGAGGATTCAGCCTTCAACTTCACCTTTTCCTTTCTATCCTTACTTTAAAATTAATAATAATAATAATAATAATAAAGCAAGATGTTAAATGTATTGGATTGAAGATGACTTTCTTCACCTAAAGAAAACATGTGTCATTGGTTCGAGCCCCAGTGAATATGACATCATCTATTGGAAGGCAGTTCATTTATTGTCTAGTCTTCCATATTTAATTGTTGTCATTGAACTGTATAATTTCATTAGTACTAATTCTATAAAAGAAGATGGGTCTTCAAGTAAACGTAGAGAAGATAGAGGTGATGAAGAGATACCCAACCAACACCACCAACAACAAACTCCAATCACCATCAACGGAAGAATCTTAAAATAAGTAGCCTCTTTCACCTATCTAGGCAGCACCGTTTCAACTACACGCGACACAGACGCAGACGAGGACGTCAAAGCAGGCAGGATCGCAAAAAACAGCAAGACAGGCGTTCATTAACCTGAAACCAGTATGGAGATCTGCACTACACTTAGCATAAAGCGTGAACAAGATCCGGTTTTTCAACACCTACGTCAATTTAGAGCTCTTGTATATGGTTCAGAGACTTGGTGCGTTATGAAAGGCATTTCTAACAAATTACAGACATTCATCAACAACTGCCTATGCTGGCTCGTTACTGAAGATCAGATGGATTGCCAGAAAGGATAAGCAACAAGGAATTCACTCTGGGAACAAACCAACCAAGAACCAATCGCTTAACAAATATGGAGAAGGAAGTGGAGATGGATTGGGCATGCATTGAGAAGGCCACTCGGGGACATCATGCACTAGGCCGTCCAGTGGAACCCAGATGGGAGACGTCGAGTTGGGCGTTCGAGGAGAGTGTGACATGGAGGAGATGGTGAGAGGAAGAAATGAGAGCTTGTGGGCTGTCGTGGCGCCAGGTGCAAAAGGTAGCAGAGAAGAGTGTAATAGAGACGTGCTCTTGAAGCCCTGTGTTCCACTAGGAACCCAAAGGACAAATAATAATGATAATTATGTAGGAAGATTTAAGTATGCATGAGTTGTGTATGCATGTTTATTCAATCTTGTAAGAATCAACAGTAAACTCTTTAGTTGAACATACATGTGGGAGCACTGGATAGCTGTCTCGTCCTAGTATGCAACTCCTCAGCGGTACTCACCCACGACAACGGTTAGGGATCGAACTCAGGACACCTTCAGGTTAACCATTCAGCCACTAGGTTGGTTTCCACTGGTTACAATTTCCAACTTCTGTCAATTTCAATGGTTCCCCAACTGATGTCAGTCCATGATGAATACCACTTCTAAATGGAAAAAATCCCCATTCATCTCAAAAATATTTAAGTGACAATGATCTTCACTGTTTCTAAGCCTTTTTAGTATGGCACACATTTCCATGAGAAGGCTTCAGGTGTTTGACCTTCATAGCATAGACCATGTTTCATGGTGTTACCATGTGACTAATGCATAAGTCAGGCGTAGAATTTTAAGCAGTTGATGTGGTTGTGAACCTTCACCTACCGAGATGGCTGGTTGAGACATGTATTGCGTATGCCTAACCACCGTCTACCTCGTCACATAATGTTGGTTGAAGTAGTTTCAGGCTAGAAAAAGGCTCATGGGGCTTTGTAGAGAGATACGGAGTAGGCGGTTGGATTCCGCGCGAATTTCTACCTCTACTTCCTTTGACCGATTTTGCTTCTTTTTTTTTTTCATCACCTTCCATTTTATTACCTTGTCACTTAATGTGCTGACATAAGATGTAGGAACTTTCACCATTACTGTAGTAATGCTTGAACTTATGTTGATCTTATATCTACACGTAAATTCTCAGGTTTTGTCTTGAAACTTTGAAGTTATACGATTGCTTATGAAAGTCTTCAAGGATTTTGAGCTTCTAATATGGATCCTAGTCAATCTTATAGCATATATGATACTTTTATTGTTAATTGACATATCGTCGAATGTTTTCTTTATTGTTTCTTGTTCTCTCTTATTTTAATTGTTAATTAATCCATTTCAATTTCACCTTACATGTAACTTGTTATTGTTTTTTTCCTCTTCATCATAGGTTGATACTCATTCATTGCGTAAATGCTGTTTAATATCAGCTTATCTAGTGAGTCGTATATGTAAAAGTTGTCCTTTACAAATATTTCAATCTTCTGATTTAGTGAATACTCTATCCAGTCTACTTTGTCATGGTTGGTGTTTATCACAATTTCAACAGAATTCTCAAACAAATACTGAAATGAATGAAAATGTTAATTCAATTGAATATAATATATTCAGTTTGTTAAATTCAAAAATCCTACAAAATCGTATTATATGCCTAGGAGCATTTGAATCATTGTGCAGTCATCATGAGCCGTCAATTAGTGCATTGTTTATAAAAATACTAACTCCTCAAGTGAGTTTTTTTCTAAAAAACAACAACAAACAACCTTTTTTATCTCATTAAAATGATCCTTTTGAATAATAGATGGTTGTCATCAGTATTGATAATAAGGGGGTACATTAATGACTAGTAATCGGCTCAGTGAAACAGAAGGTACTGAGGGAGGTCAATCATAGAAGTATTCGGTTGAGATGTCTATTTAGTCTCAGTATCATTATGCTCACGCACGCAACCCCACTCAGTCACAATATCTAGGATACGTATTTCATCTTATTTGTAACTAACTCATTAACTGAATCCATTTGTCTCCCATTGAGTGTGATGGTGTTATCACTGGGACTCTAACGGGATGACCCAGCAATACCTGCACAATACTTGCTAATCGAATAACTAAAGCATTATTATTATTATTATTTGTCTTTTGGATTCCTAGTGGAACATAGGGCTTCAGTAGCAGGTCACCATTTCATACCCTTCTCTCCAGTCTTCTCAACCCAGCTCCACGACTGCACATAAGTTTTCATTACTTCCTCACACCATATGTCACCCTCGGACGCTCAACACGTCGTTTCCCATGCGGGTTCTACTCGACGACGTCGTCTGGCGCGTGATGTCCCCAAGCGGTCTTCTCAATCTCTATCCAGTTCAATCCACCTCCATTTTCTTCTGCATATCTACTGAGTGATAGGTTCTTGTTCGGTTGGTTCGTTGCCAGCCGGAGTGGGTTCCTTGTTGTTTATTCTTTCTGACCATCTGATCAGTATCGAACGAGCGTAGGCGACAGCTGTTGTTGATATCTGTCTTGAGTTTGTTGGAAATGCTTTTCGTAATGCACTAAGTTTCTCAGCCATCACATAGAAGCACTGACTTAGTGTTGTTGTTTATGCTGAGTGTAGTGCAGTGCAGTAGATCTCATCACTGATCTCAACAGATTAATAAAGGCCTGTCTTGCTATTTTTCCGATCCTGGCTTTGACGTCGTCATCTGTGTCACTGCCTGCGGTTGAAAGGATACTGCCTAGGTGAGTAGGTAGGTGAAAGAGACAACCTCCTTCAGATTTCTGCCGTTGATGATGACTAGGACTTGTTGTTGTTGGTTGGGTATCTCCATCACCTGTGTCTTATCTATGTTCACTTGAAGTGCTGTCTTCACTGCCTCACATCCTCTGTTAACTTGTTAGTTTTCGCCTGTAGATCTTCAAGTTTGTGCGACACTAGACATCAGTCATTGGCGAGATTCAAATCTTCTTCTGGGGTCATTTCGTCGGTCAAATAGCGTATGATCTCATCTTCCACAGTTTCTTGCATGATGCAGTCGAGTGGACCACAATCAGGAAGGTGATCGGTGATAGTGGGCGGCAACTTTGTCTTACTCCTTCTTGTCCTCACTTCAAAGACATCACTGAGCTACTTTGCATTGTGAATCACTTGGCATGTATCATCATCATATAGTATATAGCTGCTGTTGAATGAGTTTGATAAAGGTTTGTGGTATTAAAACAGTAGTGTTGAAACAGCTGCCAAATTACTTCTCTGTCGACGCTACCGGAGCCCTTGACAAAGCATTACCACAAGCAATAATGTGTAACGATCGGTTGTTGTTAGATTGGCGTCTAGTGTGAAGTATATTCTAGGTTTTCAACCGAATGCGGGAAATTTTCGATTGTTGAAAGTTCAACCAGTTCGCGATCACTAGACTGATTACTGAGTCATCATATCCACCCGTTTTCCTACGGGTGTAATTTCATACCAAAACTCGCTGTTTCCTGTTGATTGTTTTCGATAGATGTGTATGATCTGCTTCGTTTGTTAGAGGTGTGAGGCTTTTATTTGCAAGTTTTAAAAATATACTACTCAATAATATTTAGTAGTTAAAAAAATATTCTAAAAATATTATAGAAGTAATATTCATCATGGACTGACATCAGTTGGGGAACCTGAAGGTCCTGAGTTCGACCTGTAGCCGGGTCGTGGGTGCGTACTGCTGAGGAGTGCCATACTAGGACGAAACAGCTGTCGAGTGCTCCCAGACTGATGTCAGTCCATGATGAATTCTACTTCTAAAATTAAAAATCCCCATTCATCTCAAAAATAAATTACTCTGAAGATATTGTTAGTTATATGGATATAATCTCAGTTTACATCAGAATATTGTGGAATTGGTTGAAATTAATAGGGTAGTATGAACTTGATCACTCACAGTTGCGTTTAGCTTTATATCTAAGACGCCGACTTACTTCATGTAAACACCGCTGGAAATTATTATTTATGATTATCACTTTTCCAGGCTTAAGTTATGTACATAAATTGTTCTTCTTAGAAACCCATGTCTTCAAAAGTCATCTAAAGTTGCTGAAATGCCAAATATTCAAAATTACATTTAGTTTTGCCTTGACAGTTTTGTTCTAGTCTTCAGCATGTTACGTTGTGCTGTAGGCAATATGAATTGCCCAATAGTTACTGGGTGTTAGATATACCGAGAGATGAGAACTGTTTGTTGGGAATTCCCGGAGATATTTGTCATGAAAATTTCCTCTTGGAAGTCTTGAATATTTCCAGTGACTTTCAATTATTTATTTTGTGTGTCAAAGCACAGCCACCATGTCAGATAGTAGTCAAAATGATAATCAATATGATCTTCCCCCCGCCGCTTGTCTAATTCAGTTAGAGTTGGATGAGAGGTCGTGACTGGCGTAATTATGTTCAAGCGATGGTAGCGCGTCAGGAATTCACATCATAGTCGGATGAAGCAGTTGTGTGTTGTAGCTCAGTGACCCGATGATCACCGGTTCAGATCATGTTGCCGTATAAATTTTCACTTCAGCTTCAATCATCGCACAATTCTATACGAGCTCCTACATCTGTCTATCTGTTAGTCGTGTTTAGGAAATACTTAAGAGGTGGTATGTTCTTTTAAGAAAAGAATAGCTTCAATGTGTTTTTATGGTGTAATTTTGTAAAGCTGAATTGATTATTTTATAATTATTGTAAACACTGAATGTTTCAGGTATTTCGTTGGTTATATGACTTGACTAATATTGTTGAATTGTACTCTTCAAGACAACAACACAAATTGGATATATCTTCTTGTGATACATTGAATAATGAAATCAATTTGAATGAATTTATATTTGTTTAAATGCATCATTTGATTTATTGACCTCAATAATTAGTAAAGCGGAAAGTTCAAATCGCCAAGCCTTATTATTAATTTATTTACCATTATTATGTAATCTACTCTCTAATGACTCGTATATCATAATGAATCGATCATATTCAACTAATCATTATACAATTCTTCTTCCAATGAATTTATCAGAGTTAATTTATTACATGCATACAACTACATTGAAACATGTAATAACAATAGCTCCATACTTTCCAAATGAAATACGTTCTACATTTCATATTCTTAGTGATTTAAAATTACGCTTAGAGAATGCTATCAAATTATCTAATCCATTAATCAATACTACTACTACTGCTAATGATAGTAATAGTAATAGTAATCTATATGATCAAAGTCAGTCAAGATTTCAATTGAAAGGAATATCATCTAATAGATATCCTGTAAAACAATCTGAAATTTCTTTACCATCTATCAAATTAAAAACAGATTTTAGTAATTTTACATACAATTAAGAGGTTAGATGTGTCCTATCCATCTATCTATCTATTCATATCTAAGTATTTCATAATATACACAATTCTATACAAGAATAATGTCCTAGTGATGATAATAATCATCTCGATTTATGCATCTCATATCGTTATCATAAACAAAGTTTTCTTCTCTTTCTGTTCACATTATTACTGTTATTGATAGGAAGGGTTAGTGGAATGCATTTCATCCAGTTAGGGTTAGCGTTATAACAATGGGGAAAAAAAAAGAAATATTAGCTAAATGAATGAGTGAATGAATGAAGAAAGCAAAAAATAAATTCACCTCATTGTCATCATCTCGTCTTCAGAGTTAATGTCTGTTATTCCTCTTTCTTTCTTTTTTCCTTTCTTTAAGTAATTGTATATTTTTATTTACGAAAAACAACTTGGTCTTCCTTTTAGCATATATGCATTATTCATCTTATGGTTTTTATTTGTCTTTTATTCAGAGAACAATGCAATATCACTATTTTATGTTGCTAAGCTGTTTTGCTTAATTTTGTGTGTGTGTGTGTGTATAGTCTGGTGTTTATTCTCATCATCATCATCATTATTATTTTTTGTTGTCACATTACCCCAGTGTTATCTTTGTAAAGCATTTCTTTATTTGCTAATTTTATTTCTTGTGGCTTGACATCTACTTACCCCTCTATATTCTACCATGTTGTTGATGATGATGATGATATTTTGACCTGTAGACGTTTTTATTTTATTTCATTTTGTTTGTTTTTTCTGCTTTTTTTTAAAATTTATTTCTTTGTGTTTTATTTCTCAATTTATTTTCTTTTGCTTGATAATGAATATTATCGGAAACAAGAAACATAAGATATTCTATTCTCAAGAAATATCGATTAGAACTTCTCTCAGCACATATTGTGTACTTCATAATTTACTGATATCATGTTCATTTATACCTGTCATATCAATCAATACACTGCATACATACAAAATATATTCACGTATAATCACATAGAATTGTTTTAATTGTCAGTTAACTACTATAGGTCAATTTGTTGCTCCAAATCTATTACCTAGACACTATACAGACAATAACATCTGAATTGCCAATCTTTCCTATTCAACACTTATCAATTTAGCATCTTGTTGACGACTGCCAAGAATCATATGATGTACATCGACCAGGGCTTCCTTCTGACTAACTTACCGATCAATTAACATTCATCAAAGTTGCACCCTTATGATGTGTCACCTACCTTTGTGACGCCACATTAAAAAAATGATCGATAGAATTTGATTAACATATACGACTAGACTAAATGAGATTGGTTTCCCTCTCGTGACTAAGCAAAGTATGTAAGCCAGTCCTACAGGAGGTAAATTGCGAGGTGAATAGCTAGCTCACTGGTAATGTAGCTGACTACAACACTGAGTGATGCGGGTTCGGATCTCCCGTGGGACATCAACCCCGTCCAAGTTGCAGATACACCTTGCTGATGAGTACCAACAAGCATGAAAACTAGGTTCATGGCTTCCTGCCGATTGCCTCCAGGCAACCAACATCTACCAATTGCATCGCGATGTTCAGCCTCCTAGCTTGGTGGCCACATTGCCAGTAGACATCATCAGCTTCTCAATTAACGGATGCATGCGAACACATCCCTGTAGGCTCTCAGTACAAAGAGCAGCGAACGCAACTCAAATTTAGACTTACAAAACGTCTACGCCATAACAGGGGCAGCGAAGCCTAAAGACATGGAAACGGCAGCGGCGATAGGTAACAACAGACAAGTATTTAGACTTATTAAGGAAACTGGGGAGAAAAGGTCAACGGTTAGTGAGACTATACCGGAGAAGAATGAGACTGCGATTCACTCGAAAGGGGGGCGACTGGAACGATAGGTAGAACACTTCGACGAATAGTTCAACTCGCCTCCACCTACTATTGCCTTGTCCGCTATCCATTCGGATGATGAATGGAACATTGAGATAGGCCCCTCAACAACACTAGGGGAAGTCGAGAGAGCGATAGGTAACTTGAATCGAGGAAGGGCAGGCAGTAGGACCAGATGGACTAGTTCCTGAAGTATGTATATAAGGATGGTGGTAGAGTGTTTTCAGTCAAGTTAAGTGAAGTGTTAACAAGTGTATGAGAGTCAAATATACTCCTCTCTGACTGGTGTAAATCACTGATTATATCAGTCTTGAAGAAAGGCGAGAAGTGTAGTCGTTTTGTGATAACCGCAGAGGAAGGAGTCAGCCTGACGAACATAGTGTCTAAAATCCTAGGTTCTATAATCATGCAATGCCTGAATGAGGCTAGAGAACAGCGAACCCGAGAAAACCAGGTAGACTTCAGATCTGGCTGTGGGTGTATCGAGCAGATATTCAAACTCTGCCAGATTCTGGAACACATAGATGCTTACCAACGCTCGACAGTAGCTGTATTTCTCAATCTGAAGGTGACATTCGACTCCGTCGATCCAGAAGTCTTATGACAGTGTCTCTCATTGAAACGGGTACCGAATAAGTAAATCACTCTATTGAAGGCTGGTTACTCGAACACTTCTGAGCGCGTGAGATTCCATAGTAAGATATCGATTGAACTGTGTACGTCAAGGATCCTGCTTCTATCCATTGCTATTCAATTTTTATTATAGACGTTCATATGGAGGTCTCCCTTTTGAAATCTGAATACACAGCGTGTTTATCTGATTTATCCATTGAGTTCATCAGTGGTGTATCCGGACAAAACTAGTTTGTAGATTGTATGCGCATGTTTTTATTGTTGTAGTTGTGGTATATTGATTAGACAGGATAAGAGAAACAAGTAATTACAAAATGAATGATGTCTATGATAACAATAGAAGGAAGATTTAATCAGCTATTAGTGATTATTTCTTGAAGAAGACAAAGTGGAAGAAACAGAGAGAGAGAGAGAGAGAGAAATGCACTCGATGGTCAATGTGCCTTACTCTTCATCACCTAGACTAACCATACACACACAGAAAACTGAAACATTAAGCAATAAGAAGATAATAAAAATTACACAAGTAGAATAAACGAAAGAAAAATTGACATGGAATTAAGCAGACTAGAGTTGTACACAAATCGTGTGAGAAGCGAAGAAAGGGGTGGTAACAACGATCAGTGAATAAATCAACACGTACATAGACCTAAAAGATATGAAGTAAGCAATTTGACAAGACAGTTACAGTGAGACAGAGCGTGGGGGAGCAGAACACAACAACAACAACAACCAAACAAGAAGATAAATAGGCAATAGAAAAACAACTAACAATAACTTTTCTGACTAGTCTGCATATATCATGTTGACTATAGCGAAAATTACTGGTTGCTTGTAAGATTTAAACATTTTTTTTATCCCTCTCCATCTTACAATTTTTATTCGTTTCGAGTTATTATTTCGATAACTTGAAAGTAAATGCTAACCTGCAAAATACTGAAACATTGAACAGTCAAATAAACAACAAACATGTTCAACAATAACAGCAAATAAATTGAACGAATGAAGCCGAAGAGGAGGAGGAGAAGGAGGAAATGAAATCAAAGAGAGATAAGTAGGGTATGCATTATTTTTTTCAAATAATTGAAGAATTATTTGAACAGTACTGTTGATTATCATAGGATTCAATTAAGTGCTCCTCGAAACAGATAAAACGTGAAGGCGTTACACTGGGTGAATTGATACCACCACCAGTAATTAAAGGGATATAAGAGGTGTTGTTAAATGGAGATAACCAGGCGGTGGAGGCGGCAGCAATACCAGATCGATATCTTAAGCATCCAGGAGCCTAAAATACGAATATACAAATAAATAATGAAGACTTAGAAAGTATTCATGCTATTATAGAAGTTGCTTAAAACACACGAACATTGAACAGACAACAAAACTTAATAAATGACATTTACAATGAACAACAATGAAATAAAATCTATTCAAAATATCGATTTATTAACAACACCAAATCACCATTATATATCAGGGAATAAACATTAGTCAAACATGATTGTTCACAGTTTGAAAATAATAATAATAATAGTACAACACTCAATGAAAAGATTTATTATTGTTAATAATAGTAGTAGCATTAGTCTTATTGCTTGTATTACACCGTACCTGCTTCCTAGTAAGTGATATTGTTCCCACTGGGATTCGGACTCGCGAGAAATCGCTTCAAACGCGAGAGCATTAGTTAACATCACAAAATATTATGTGGTGTACGATTAGATTATGAAAATCAAAACCCTAAACCTGTGAATCCATTGATAATCAACAATTTGATTATGTGAAGTTGCCAAGGAAATCAACTGATTGAAGTAACGAAATCGGAGGAGTATGTACTCACAGAAAGATTTGAAAAACGTCAAGAACATTGAAAATATACATAAATTGATATATTGTATGCATACTATGATATTTCAATACACGTATTATTATGTATAGTAATGATGGGCAGTGGCATTTCGTCTTATTTGGGACTCATCAGCTGTATGTACTATTATCTTATCAACTTTTCTATTTATCGTGGAGCTGAGCCACTTTCAAAGGTTCAGGATCTGAACCTAATTAATTGTACAGGTGGTAATACATTTATAACATAGTGATAGTTCATCTACAGTTATTTCAGAAACATTGTATAAGTATTCATTATGCATAGTATTTATGAATACAGATTACAGATGACTTTTATGTTGGAAATTCTATCACATTTGATCATTTCAGTGATGAGTCAATTCAATAGCGACTTTAATAAGTACCTGACAACCAACGCTATGTCAATACCTTCATTAGTGCGATTTGCATAGATATTTGTAAGTAGTTGTTAATTCCTACATGATTATATTACACCATCTATTTGCCATCACAGATTGGTTATTTCTAAGAGCTTTTCCCCTTCCCTACAGTCGCTTGCTTCAATCTTAGATTATCAAAGTTTCCCACGTAATATATTTATGCTGTATAACCCTAATTTTGCATACCTTTTCCCTGCTATTTTATCCATCACCTTAAAATAACCAACATGTCTGAGTCTGATTTCACACCACCACTCGTTTTTCTTCCTTCTCCTCTCAATGCACAACTCTCATTGGTTGTCAACTAGTCTTACCTACATGTGGATTATTTAGTGTTATCAAGGTGATTTACAAATGTATATATTCAGTCAGCATCGTTGTCAACTGTATTGTCTGTTGTTGAGACAGTAAAAAGGTCTTCATCAATGGTCTATCTTCTCTTCTTGTCTTTGCGCCTCCCTGGTATTCTGGTTGTCGTTGATGTTCTCAGTTGCACTAGGTTTGCATCGTTCGTAATGTGCTAGGCTCATTTCGCTCGTAGACTGTTAGGTTGTACTACCGGTCATAGGAATAAACATCAAATTATTTCCTTTCACTAATTGTTTCCATCCTCTGAATATGTATCATGTACTCTTTTCATTACGCAAACATTCATCATATTTCTATGCCTCAGATACTCAGCTTGAATTGCTGACTGAATAAACTGTCATGATGAAATTGCTGTTCACTTTTCACTTCATTTTCTATTGTTGTAGACTAGACGTTAGTTAATGTAACATCAACTGGCTGTTTCACGCTATTCTCTTTATTACTGTTATTCAGATGTAATAATCATTTTGTTTGAAAATATTGTACTGGGAATGACTCTGTTGACACATTACAATGCTGAGTGAGAATTACATAATGTATCATAAGTATTGTTTGGAATATAGTGAATTTTATTGTGATTAAACTACTGAAAACGTGGGAGCATTGGACAGGTGTTTTGTTCCATTATGGGACTTGTCAGCAGTACACACACCTAGTACTGAATGGTCAATGAGTTCACTGTGAAACTTGAAGGTGATAAATTCGATCCCTGATTGAGAGGAATGGTAGGTGCATACTACTAAGGAGTCACATACTAAAACAAAAAACAAATTCTCTAAGTCACATCATTTTGTGTTGGATACTACCTCAGAACAATAATTTTTTCCCTTTCGATTTTATTCAATTCTGTTTAACTGATGACTAAAACTTCACAGTTAGAACAAACCAATTAACAGAGTACACTATAAACAGGACAACAACACATAAGTATACACAATGATAATTTGAAGAAAATCAGACGATTAGAAAAGCTAAAAGGTCGATTAGTCGCCAACATTGTTGAGTAGAATTATCAATCTATCATTAATGTTATTGCTATGATGTAGGAAGGATTAACCATGGTGGTGGTAAGTAATAGTAGTAGTAGTACGGAGAGAGGAAGGAAGAGTAAAAATTACACTTACTGTAAGCAAAGGTTTTCGTAGACGAACACTAGGCAGGAAAATATACAGTGAATAATGTTGTTAAGTACACCATAAAAAAAAATATTTTCATCTCAAATCTACAACACAATAATCTCATATTTATGCAACTGGCAACTACTCCTCTAGTTGCAAACAGTCTGGAATGATTATCTCCATGAGACATTCTTATACACTTTAGAGAGAATGAATTTATTGATAAAATATATTTGATGCTGATAACATCTATCTATCGTTTAATCTTACTCATATTCTATCTCAACTTCATCGACTTTGAAAAGGCTTTCCACAACGTCGATCAAGAAGTAATTTGGCAACTGATCCAATACTACGAAATACCACTAACCTTTATCAAATCTCATTCAACAACTATATGAAGAAGCTATATGCCAAGTAATTCACAATGGAAAGCAGCTCAGTCATACCTCTGAAGTGTAGACAGGAGTAAAACAAGGCTGTCTACTATCACCCATGATATTCCTCATTGTAATGGACTGCATCATGCAATAAACAGTGAGGAGCAAGAAGTGGAGGATAAGCTGGACCGAGGGAAAACATCATAGAAGATTTGGATTTCGCTGATGACTTGTGTCTAATGTCACACAAACTTGAAGACCTACAGGTAAAATCCAACAAGTTGACAGAAGAGGCAGGGCAGCGAAGACTGAACCTCCTTCAAGTGAATGCAGAGAAGACACAGGTAATGAAGATACCCAACCAACACCACCACCAACAACAAAAAGCTCCAATCACTATCAATGGGAGAAACTTAAAGGAAGTAACCTCCTTCACCTATCTAGGCAGCACTGTTTCAATTACAGGCGGCACAGACGAGGACGTCAAAGCAGCCAGGATCGGAAGAGCAAGACAGGAGTTCATTAACCTGAAACCAATGTGGAGACCTTCTGCACTACACTCAGCATAAAGCGTGAACGAGATCCGGATATTCAACACCAACGTCAAGTCAGTGCTTCTATACGGTTGAGAGATTTGGCGCGTTACAAACTAAAGAGATTGGTCAACAACTGCCGACTACGCTCGCTCGATACTCAAGCTCAGATGGCCAGAAAGAATAAGCAACAAGGAATTCACTCTGAGAACGAACCAACCAAGAACCAATCGCTTAACAAATATGCAGAAGGAAGTGGAGATGGATTGGTTACACACTGAGAAGGCCGATTGGGGACATCATGCACCAGGTCCTCGAGTAGAATCCAAATGGGTAATCACGAGTTGGGTATCCCATCTCAGGGTGACATGGAGGACATCGTGCGAGGAAGAACTGAAAGCTTCTGGGCTGTCGTGGAGCCAGGTTGAAAAGATTGCAGAGAACAGAGTGCACTGGAGACATGCTACTGAAGCCCTATGTTCCAATAGGAACCCAAGGGACAAATAATAATAATAATAATAATAATAATAATAATAATAATCTAGTTGTACACCTCAGTCAGGAGTTCTCATCGTAATTCATCACATCGAGATGAATTACACTGGGGGAGAGGGCAGCAATCATTTTGACTATCCCAGATTGTCCTGCTTTGGACAGATTTGTATAATTGATACTAGGTGATCATCGAAAGATGAGATGAAAAACTGAACCAGAGCAGGATTTCAATAAGCAATCAACGAGTTTTCAGATCAATGCTCTGCCAACTGGCCAAATGTTTATTTCACCATTATCCAGTAGCAGTGATATCAATCTGTCAAATCACAGCTATCTCATTCTGATAGTCAAAATAATAACCAGTAACTTTATTTCCCAGTTTATATGGTTTCTTTGTTCCTCTAACTGCAAATCATACCTCTCATTTTATACCGTGAAAATAGTGCACTTATTCCAGACTGTTTTCAGCTGAGGAGAACTCACGTAGTAGATAAATATGAGCTTAATTTGTTCTCTGCTTATCTTGTTCATCTTGACCTGATGAAAACTGATCAAAGGAGCAAATATGAACAAGATTATTATTATTATTATTGTTATTATTATTATTATTTTTACTAGGTGATGATTGAAGGTGAAACAAAAATTTCCACCGTGGCGGTATTCGAACTAGCGACCACAGGGTTTTAAGTGTTATTATTATTTCTATCTCATTGTGCCAGTAAAATTGGCATACATATCATTCATAGCCATACAACAGGACAGAACGGACTGCAGTGGAGTATGCTTGCCCTTTGATAGTCAGTTGGATATCTCGCCATGACAGATGATGCAAACAATTAATCAATATCAACATAGGACCAGGCATTACTGCATAACGGTCCGACTTGCCACACCTAACGTCAGTTCATCAAGTAGAAAGGTAGTCAGGTGAAGGATGAAGATAAGTGAATGCAGTCAAAAGAAATATAAAGTACGAGAAGAAAGGAAAGAGAAGCGACAAAATGGTGAGATTCGGTATAGTGTACTTAAGATGAGGATAATGTGTGTATATATCTGCACCATTGACATCGGTTCCCAGCCATATCACCTACAGTCTCCAACC